TCCCAGAAAAAGAGAAAGGGTAGGTCCTGAGATCAAGGAAGATGGCTAAGAAAAGCTCACTCATATACTCATATGTGAGTGTTTGTGCCTTGGTTATCCAGATTGGAAGCAGGTACTTGGTTCCAGAGGACCTTTTGTCCTCTGGATGTTCTTGAGTAATTGTCCTTGTTTTTAATTTGGTTTATGTTTTCAGTGAGTGAAACATAAAGCCATATTTTAAGAGCAGCTGAAATTTTAACAACTAGAAAATAGAGTGAATAAATAAATATACATGGTCAAGCCAAGCATACTTATGCTCGTTTTGGACATCTTGTTTTGTTTGGGTATGGATGTCTTAATCCATGGATATAATGTGTGGCTGAGCACTTTCACATCCATAAGCTCATATCAGGTAATCTTATTATCTGTGTTTTATAGCCAACAAAACCAGGCAGGTTAAATGGCTTACCTAAAGTCATAGAGATGATTTTTTTGCAAAGATGGGATTTGAACCCAGGTCTTCTGATTACAGAATTGGTGATCTGTCTGTGACATCAAGCAGTCAGATGAGTAGGTGAATCTTTATAGAAAATTTTCTATTATTTTATACATTAAAAATAAAGAAGTATATCCCAGTAGAAATAAAAGAATATAGTTTGCTCTGATAATAAAATCACATATAGGCTATAGTGTGTCTCTATTTTTATTTATTTTGAGGAAACAACCTTTTGATAAACCAATAATAAATAATGTCAAATGCTAACATTGTATCTCAAAATAGGGATGTTGATAAGTTCTCGAGTCAAAAATGCACTAAAATAAGACTAAAGGTAAAACCATAAGAAGTGAGTTGCCTTATAATTCCTTAATAATTCTCCTGGCCTGAGCTAAAAGAAATTGATCCTTTAAATTTAGACAACCACAGATGTGTAGATTATGTTGATCTACCTTATTTCATTTTGAGATGAAGAAATGGACAAATGAAGCATCAGTCAGCTGTGGAAGATGGAAGGGATAAGCATGGATCTGGTCAAAGCCAGAGCCTTCTTCCCTCTCTTCTTTCTTCCCTGCCCCGACCCTTTACCTAGACAATGTAGGGACAGTGGCAAGAGCAGGTGGGCAGGCTCTGCTTCAGGGAGGACAAGAAATCTCAGGCCACCATATCTGATTCTATGATTTCTACTTCTAAATGAACAGCCCCTTTTCCCTACAAATTCACTCTTTTGTAAAGAGTAAGACAAAATAAAAGAGAAAGTAAATAAATTTTGCTTTAAGATGTGGCTCACAGGCTGGATTTGCAAATAAATATTGGCCATTACCTTATCAGATACTAACTACATGGCCTTATTTTTAAGCATTCTTTCTGTGAAGCTTTATTTATAGCAGAGAGGCCTGCAGGAGACCAACGGGGTTAGCAGAGTGGATTATAGCCTGACGCATTTACTTGCTTGAGAAAAAAAAATAACAGCCAGATGAGTGGTTTCAGAAAGCTAAGGCTGCTGATGTAGTCTGCAGCGGGTTCAAGATTAGAGGGCATGCAGTTTCTCCTCTCCTTTATAAATATTTACTGGAAAGCTCATGGTTTTTTCCCTATTCTCTTAAGGAAATTGCAAGTAATACAAAAACATCCTGTGATAAAATATATGCAGTACAGGCTGAGCGGGCAGATGGATGAAACAGAAGAAATGTGCCCCAGGACTATGGCATGCTTGTATTATGACTAAATTCTTGGCTTTTGAATTTGTTAAGTCCACAGGTGATAGTATATGAGGAGTGTGTGGGACAGAAGTAGAGATATACTTTGCCATGAGCAGCTTTTAATGTAAAATAGCATTTATTCTCCTCAAAGAGGCTATGAATGCTTTCACAAGCTTAACTTTCATCTTATTTTAAGTTATACCCACCCTGGAAGAATATGCCCAGGTAATCTCCAACACTCAGGCATCAGAATGAGCAGCGCCTTCTGCACATTGCTTCCTCCTTCTAGGTCTGCTAATCTGGTTAGGTGCCTGTATGAAGGCAGTGAGACTAGGAGTAGTTTAAAGCTGCATTTCCAGGCAAAAATGTGTAGGAAGGATCTCAACCTGTAATCGTTAATTCTGCAGAATAAGAAAGTAGAAATTTCTGGAAATGAAATTTTTTTTGTTCCCATGATCCCTTTTCAAGAGGAAGTTTAAATATGGCTCCAAAATAAGAGAATTACCTTGTTAATATTTTTATTTGCCCTTCCTCACTTTGCAAAATCACGTATTTAAACCATTTTATGGTCACAAGTTATATTTTAAATTATTTACTTGCCACCTTTTAATAAACTCAGTCTCTTTGCTAGAGGTAGTTATCTATGGAGCTGGTGGTTTAAGAGCTTGAAGAAAACCTGCAGGGCACCTCATCCAGCCAGGAGTCTCCTGGATCCCTGTGGGTGAGTGAAGGAAGTGGGAGGAATGTGAGGGACAGAAGACAGGCTAGTGGCCCTAGCTCCCTCCACTAGCCTAAGAGAGTGTCAGTAGTCTGGCACCCTTATTCTCTCTGTCCTCCTAACCAGAAAGTAAGCCAGCTGGTCCTTCCAGTGCAGAGGAACTGCTGGAGGCTATCTCTCCTCCCTTTGCTGGGCCTTCTGAGAGAAAGCTCTTAGAAGAGCCACCCCTTTCTGGAAATAGCTTCCTTTGCAGATTAGGGCAATGGAGAGAAGATAGGGCTGTTTTATTTCTTGCCCAAACTGAGTTACTTGGGCTTTGGATGCCTGGAATAGGAGCAATATCAGATGGATGGCAGGAGAGGGCCTAAATTAGACATTTTTGCACAGCACATCATCTACTTACTCCCCCTATCCCCAGTGCTGGGGATGGATCTTGTGTGCATGGTAGGCAAGCACTTTACCACTGAGCTCCATCTTGCTTTTCTTCTGAACCCATCAGTTAGAAATGCCCATTGGTTGACCAGATTCCTGCCCTGTGTGTGTGTGTGTGTGTGTGTGTGTGTGTGTGTGTGTGTGTGTGTGTGTGTGTTGGGGTGGGCAAGGGGGCTTGAATATTGCATATGTACAGGGAAGTGAACAGGTCACAAGGATATATCTCAATGAATTTTCAGAAATAGAAGCATCCAGGTTAAGCTTATCTTGTTATAATGACACTTCTTTTCTGATTTTAAAAGTACTATTAGGAATTTTGGAAAATACAGCAAAGGATATTAAAGAGAATAGAAACCACTTGTACTTATTTCTCAAAATGATTACCAATAATGTCTTGATATGTTTCCAATCTGCCTGTCTCGCTCTCACTTGCATATACAGATATTTATGCTTGTGAACACACACACATGCGCACACACACACACACACAGGACACAGCCTCTGAAGCTTTCTGTATGTGTTCATGAATGCACTGAAGAATTTTTAAACAGTTACAATCACATAATATACACATTTTGAGGTGTTTCAATTGTGTGGTATTATTGGTTTCATCCACAGAAAGACAGGGTAAGTCAAGGAAACTGAAAACCATCGTCTTTTTTCCTAGGTATAAGGAAAAAGGGCTTTGCGTGAGGGAGGAGGTTGAACTAAATGGCTGACATGCAAATATGGATGATCAATGTATTTCATTGATCCAGTATTTTTCCCTGTCTCAGCAAACTGAGTATTGACAATAGGAAGTTCAAAGACTTCTGGGTGGAGGTCCTCTTCATGCAGAGCAGGGGTAAGACCTCAATCAGACTTTGGTTGCTGCTTTGTAGAGCCGAAAACCTCTAAGCTTCAGGCTTACTTTGCCAGAAGGCTACCTTTATTTTATTTAAACTTACCTCCTGTGCAGCTAACCAAACAGACTTTAATTGTAGCAGCTCTTGTCTTAAAAGGAAGCTGAGTCAAATGCTGGAAATGGCCTAGCGGCTTTGTGAGTTGCAGCAAATCATCTTCCCCATCACTACAGAAATGGACCAAATGAGGCCTTTGTGGTACTGGTTGCTTTGGTTCTATCTGAGTTTTCTACACACATTGTTAGGAGAGAACAGTTGGTACCTGTGTTAGTCAGCTTCCTGTTACTGTAAGAAAACAGCTGAGATAATAACTTAAAAAGAAGAAAGGCTTATTTTGGAAGCTCTAGTTCATGGTTATTTGGCCCCCATTGCTTTTAAGCCTGTGGCAAGGCAGCACATCATGCTAACAAGCATTTGGTGGAGTAGCTGCTCACCTCATGGCAGCTGGGAAGTAAAGAGAGGGAGGGGAAGAGCCTGAGGTCATCCCACAATCCCCTTTGAAGGCATGCCCCCAGTGACCTAATACCTCCCACCAGACCCCATCTTTCAAAGACTCCATTACTTCCTAATAGTGCCAGGGACTAAGGCAAGCCCATAACACATGGGCCTTTGGAGAACAAGTAAGATCCAAACTGCAGCAGCACCAGCTTCCTCCTGCTGTTGGTTGGGAAGGAAGCATTGTCTATCTGCCTCCTGGCTGGTCAAGGGTTCAGCTTCTGCAGGGAGATAGTGGCACTCCTTGTGCTGGGAAAAGTTCTCTCCCTCAGAACCACCCATCTGTTGATTTATTTATAACTGACTTATAATAATTGTCCATATATTTGGGGTGCATTGTGACAATTCAATACATGGATGCAAGTATGTGATCAAACCAGGATACTTAGCATTTCCCTGTCCTTCAGTGCTCATTGTTTCTTCATGTTGGTAATCTTTGAACTCATCTTTTGTAGTTATTTTGAAATACATAACAAGCTACTGTAAACAGTAGTCACCCTACTGTGCTGTGGAGCTATATTGAACTATATTTTGGTGTCCATTATCTGACCTGTTTTTATTCCTTGCCTTGTTCTTTTTCTAATATTTAATATAGTTTGCTTCCTTTATGCACTTATAATTTATGTTATTATATACTCAGAAAATGTATTGGATGTTTTGTATTTGTGACTATCGTGTCAGATCACCCCTCTTTCCTTTCTTGTTAAGAACATGTTCACAGACAGCATGAAGTGGCCCTTGTGTTTACATGTGTTCTTGTTGTATTGTCTTTGCAGCCGAAATCAGCTGTCTGCCCTGCCTGCCTGCCTGTGTGGTCTGCCTCTCAAAGTCTTAATCGCAAGTAACAACAAGCTTGGATCTCTGCCAGAGGAGATAGGTCAGCTCAAACAATTAATGGAGTTGGTATGTTACTGATTTCTAAGATGCTTTTTTCATTTGTTAACTGATGATAACCTGTCAGGGTATTCAGAGAGACTTTTTTGCTATAGTTGGGCAAGGAGGAATTTGCAGTAGTTTATTTCCCATTGCTATAAGAAAACACCTGAGACTGGGCTGGGTACTTTATAAAGAAAAAAGTTCACTTAGCTCATAGTTTTGGAGGTTGAGAATCCATGATCAGGTGGCCTTATCAGTTCAGCCTCTGATGAGGGACCCCTAGGCTGTATTACAACATAGCTTATGGCAAAGTGATGTGAGCAAACGTGAGAAGGAGAGATCACAAGGCTAGAAAGGAAGTCAGGGAGCAGGAAGGGGCCAGTCTTGCTCTTTTATATCAACCTACTCCCATGGGGACTTCCTGGAGTCTCATAAGAACTGAGGGCAATGTTCCCTGTGACCTAATAACCACCTCCCATTAGGCTTCACCTCTTAAAGTTTCCACTTCCTCTTAATACCACCAAACCGGGGACTAAACTATAACAGAGTCCTAGTTCTTTATGGACAGTATATAAAAAAGACATTAAGTAGGGAGATTATTAAGCCAACAGCTGTGACTTTGCTGTGACACAGTTCCTGAAATTTACAAGTTTCCTGTGGTTTACATTTCTTGCAGTTTACAGGATTTACAGTTCCTGAGGTTTACAGGTTATCATATTGTCATTGCAATGAATTTTTTGGATTTAATATAAATTTATGAAAAATATGGCTGAAATTGGAAAAAAATCTCCAAATAAGTCAGTAGTCTCCATTTTTTGAAGTATGAAATTAGATCAAAACACAGAATAAAGAGGGTGTTGTGATTCTGTAAAGACTTTTGGCATGTCTAGCTAGAACAGCGCTGTCTCTAGTGGAGGACACATGAGCTGCTGGCTAGCTTGAGAGCCATACTGAACTTTTTTAGGTGTCCTGTGGTGAGCTCTCCCAAGGCTGCCCTGCATCTTAGACACAGCACTGTCATCACCCAGTCCTTGTGTCTTCTCTCCACTAGCACTATGAGACCTACGCTCAAGTTCTAGAAAGTCAGCCAGCGAGGACAGTGAAAGTTATCTAGCCCAAGCTCTTGACCCCTTTACCAAATGAAGACACCCAGGTCAGAGAGACAGTGAGTGACATGTGCAAGTTCACCCTGGTGTGGCTAAGTGGTAATCTACATGGAAACATCCTTACATCCTTACTAGACCTGTCCAGCGAACAATGTGAGCAACAAATACGATTTTTAAATGTACTAGTGGTCACATTTTAAAAAGTGAAAAGAAGCAAATGAAGTTAATTTAAGCCCCAGTAGCCAAAATATTATTACTTCAACATGTATACAATATAAAGATTTTGGGATATTTTACTTTCTTCTTTTCATACTAAGTCTTCAATATCTGGTATGTCACAACGGCAGTGCGCTGCAGGTGGGACCAGCCGTGTTTCTGGTGCTCAGCAGCCACACAGGCCAGTGGCCACTCTCCTGACAGAGAAGCTCTGGAGTCTGTGCTTTTTCTGCTCTATTGCTCCCATCCTGGGTCAGAGCAAATGAGTGCTTGTAAAAAGTATTTATTTGTAAAGTAGGTAAAATTTTAATAACTTGACATTATTTAACCACAGGAAGTGATGTGACTGGCCTTGGTTGGTTAAGGTCACAGACTAAAATACGATTGTTTTCCATTCTTTCTCATTTATCTTTGATATCTTTTAAAATTTAAAATAGTAGTGTTACTGTTGCTAACCACATCAGAATAATCAGAATATTTTTAGTTATCAGTTGGGAAAAATTCTCTGGAGAGCTTAAAGTAATCCTAGAATGGCAACTGGAGTCTTTTTTGTTTTGTAGTCACACAATACCAATTTGTTTTAAAAAAAAAAAAATATATATATATATATATATATATGGGAGCCACCCCAAGCATTCAAAATTCACAAGCCACCTGTGGCTTCAGTGCCTATTCCACTAGGCTCTAAGCATTGTTTGCTAACTAGTTTGGAAAAAATATTATTTAATTTTTCCCATCAGATTCAAAGGATCCCAAAATTGAGTTGTAAACTCTTTCCTTCCCAGTGTGGATCAACATTTCCAGAGATAACATCCACTTGAAAAACAAAACTAAAACACCTTTGCCATTAACAGGAAAGTACTTGCCCTTCTAATTTTTTAAAGGAAGCAGAATTGCTTTAAAAATTATACCAGAGTTATGTAAGAGTCTTAAAAGAAAAAGCATTCCCTGTTCATTCATTGGCTTGTCCAATGATTGGAGAACATGCAGGGAGTGTGGAAAGACCACAGAGAAACCACTGAGAAGTACCACTGGCTGTCTTTTTCCTGAATCAACAAGAACGGCCATATTGTGTCTCCACCTTGCTGCAGAGGCAGAACTCACACGATGCATCTTACTGTCTGGATGTCTTCTCTCTAGGTAGTCTGCTAGGACATGGCACGTACTATTTCACATTAACTTGAAAGTAACCCAGCAAGGCAGATAGCAAGTTCACGTTTTATAGACAAGTGTTGGCTTTGAAATTATGTACCCAAAGCCATGGAGCTACATGGTAGAGCTGGGGTCCAAACCAAGTTTGTCTGATGGAAGTCCACACCACAAGGCAGTCAGCGTTTGCTGTAAGCACTTCGTAGTTCTTTCTCTGGAGTTCCTTGGCTCACCTCACAGTGGTTTTCTCATTCAGGCTGTGGCAAGCTATGAAATACTGAAAGCGAATAGGCGGATGCATGGCCCCCGCCCACCACCACGGTTGTGAGTAGAAATAGCCTGTCTGTTGGAAGTTTTCTTATTGTGAAACCAAGTCAGGGAGGGGAGCTGTGAACTTCTTTTGTGTTGGCTAAACCTCATTTTACTCATTCAGCCCTCTGAACTTGTTGGAAACAGTTTTTTTACACTGAAATTCTGCTGAAGGGCGAGATGTACTTGGTAGGAGGTGTGGTATAAATGTTACATGTTGTAGTTAACAGACAGCTGTGAAGACAAACCCTCTAAGTTAGAGCACAATAAATGGAGAGTCTTCAATGGGGCATCTGCTAAAGATCTGGGAGTCCCCTCATTGGGTTTGTATGCCTGGTGGTGTGCTGTGTCTGCAGATGTTCTAGTCCTGTTTGGTTTCTATCCCTTCTTCCCTCTCCCATCTCACATAGTGTGTGAGAATCATGTCTTCCAGCTCATACCTCCATGTCAGAGAATCCAGCATCACCAGATTAGAAACCCATCTCTAGAACCCCAAAGCCTGCCAGGGCTGGCTCAAGTCATAACCAGTTGGAACGTGTGTGTTTCCTGGCTGCAACTAGACTATTCCTCATTTGCTTTTCATGCAATGTTTGGTTGTGTGGAAAGTTTTAATTCATTTATTGACTGTAGACATGTGATTTAATGAGCAGCTTCCAAGGAAAATCCTTTCATTATTTTTATGTTTAGCATTCCAGACTCTGAGGTAGGTTTAGTGTCTGCCCTAACTGTCCATTCATGGTCTCCAGTGATGCCCTGTAACCTCTCTGGTTTCTGTGGGATAATTGGAAACCCAGGGCTTGCTTCAGGCCCCTCTGTGGCTTCCATTTCTGTGTTTCTTAGGAATAGCAGCAGGATGGAACATGTGTTTGTGGGTCCATGGTGGGGTGTGAAGTAGTTTCACACTAGAGAGAGACACTGGTGTTGAGAGATCATTTATCATACCAAAAGTTGTTTGAAAAGGGCTCAAGCTAAATAAACGTACCAGTTTTTCCTTCCTTTTGAAGTTCTAACACTAGGCATTAAAGGTTTTTTGCTGCTAAGAAATCAAAATTGACATTACTAATTATCAGCCAAGGTCTTTTCATTATTTTTGATGTGTTAAATGGATCTTCTTGATACTGAAAGAAAATTAGAATTGTTTAATGATCACCTTTTCTCTTTATATAGGTACAGAGAGGGTACATTTACTTAAAGTTGCATGGTGAGTCATACAAAAGGCATTTCCTCAAGAGTGAAGGGAGGGCAGTGTCAGTAGCTTGCATTTCCTTTCAGAATGTTTGCATTTCCATCAATTAAATAAAGGGATAGGTTTATTTCAGAAATAAATATAAGCTGATAGTGTCACCAGATCAATCTTTGAAAATCTGAAGGCAGTGCAAGCCCATTTGTGAGAGACCGCCTTCAGTTCCGCAGTACAGCCTGGTCCCATGGGACTCTTCTGTGCCAAGATCATCTTGACACAATGTTTATATTGGTTTTTGTTAGACATCAGTCCTTAAAAAACACTTCTGGTCTTTTTTTTTTTTTTTTTTTTACAGTATTTTCTGAAGGTAAGTTAGTAACTAGCAGTTAGCAACAGAAATGTATTAATCTCCAGCATGCGTTTAACACTTCTGGAGGCTTTGAAGAGAGAGACCTTTTTTTATCTTTTGGTATGGGACCTGAACTCAGGGACTAGTGCTTGTCATTGTCAGGCAGACTCTATTTGAGCCACATCCCCAGCCCAAGAGAGATTCTTAATGTCCAAAGTTTTTCTTTTGGCCACTTAAAAACTTGACAGTTGAAACCAGTAGAAAATAAGTAAGATTTAAATTATAGTTAGGCTTCTCCATTTTATTTTTTATCTAAATGAAAAATTGGACTGGTTGGTCTATAAACAACTTAAACTTATTATAAATAGATTTACTTCTGTATCAAAAAGAACAAAATCAGTAAAGATTCATAATAGATTCTCATGATTCTTTTTGCCAGATCTGTAATACTATGACACTAAACATAGTGATTTGATTTCACTGAAGCTTGGAGTAATTATTCTCTAAGACGTAGCTTAAGGCTAGTAGAAAATTCAGAAGGAATTAATAAGTAAGTGAGTCATGAATTTGTAACCTGATAAATTCTCACTAATTGCAAAAATATAAGTCATTATTGTTATTTTTTTGAATTTATTTTCCTGACTATTATTTTCTTTAAATAGCTAAAAAATAATCCAGACCTTATCATAGGCTAACTTTGGACAGAGATGTTATAGAGAATGGGACTGTTCTGGAAATATTGTTTGTACATTTTCAGAACTGAAATCTCTAATCCCCAAATGCATAGACTGTTAACTCCTCTTCCTTCTCCTCCTCCAGCTAATTAGCCATAATTACCCATGGGGTTTTATTTTTGTGATGGAATTCATAACCTCTTTAAGATTTGACAAGGTTCAGTGACTTGTGGGAATTGGAATTTTGCCCTGCTTTCTGTAGTATCGATTATACAGTAGTGAAGAGTCTTTATCTCCCTATGTGCTAGATCACCTGGGCTTCCCCACCCCCATTATTTTATAAGTCAAGTGCAGAGTACTATTAACACAGTCTGACCTTCACCTTGTATTCTGCAAAATGTGAATGGACCATTGGACTCTGTGCTTCTAATTGTTTACAGATGTCCTGTTTTATAGAAAAATTTTATTTTTATCACTGTGTGAAGCTTCTTTTTAAGTATATTGAGCAACTGTTTTCTCTACCAGTATTTAAATATAGCTGCCAGGGATTGGTTTGCTTTGCTAAGGCCATCGTATTAGACCTATATGTTAGAAAGAATTTTCTTAGATGTAGGGAGCTAGCATAAATTGATTTCACAGTTAACCCAGGGGTGATCAGCAGAGAACAAGGTGTATGTAGTTCACATTAAAAAATGGAAGAAGTCTGAGCTTCATCTCAGGAGACTTCATGCTGTGAATATACTGCCTAAATATATAGGTTATCTTTTTTTGCTTTCCTTCCTCTACTTATTTTTTAAGAGATTTTTCTTAATAGTTATGTCCTTAAAACTTAAGAAAAATTGTCAGTTTCTTATTGACAATCTGTGGTTTCCATGAGCTACAAACGGGTCTTCCTCTCCTTGTCACAAGACTTACAGTAACACAAGTTCTCTCCACAGATGGAAAATAATTCCCAGGAATTATTATTCCCACTCCTGGCACTGTCACCACTGTGTCTGTGCCTGGCCAGGAGTCTACTGGGATGAGCCGATGACAGGCATTTCTAGGGCTCTCTTGTGTTCCCTGTGTGAGGGCTCTTGTAAATTAGAATGGAATGGCATCTCTTGCTTATGTGTAACTTAGTTAAGGCAAACAAAGGCAACTGCTTTCATTGGAAGGATTTGGTTGTTGACTACCATGACAGAACAAATGCCACCTCTTAATTCTGTATTTACTTCCCTAGGTGTTTTTGTTTCTATAGATACACTGTTTGAATTTCTTTTTGTTTTAAATGCTAGGGGTATTTTTCTTAAATCATGTGTGGCTTTTCTGGACCAGGAACAATACATGGCTTGGGAGATGCCTCTGAACACTTAAAGTCCCTAACCTCTCTCACCCACCTCCCCTCCCTGAAGACAGAAAAGCACAGTGGGCCGACTATTGCAGGTGCACTTATACTTCATAGATGGTTACTTCATTTTCATCTAGCAATTGTGGTGGTGTTCCTCCTCATGAAGTGGAATCCACGGAGCCCCCTCGTGACTAGAAGAGGTCATTGGAAGGTTTTTAGATGAGATGAAGTTAGAGGATAGGAATCCACTGCTTTTGTGTAGCTCTTGTCTAATAGGGATCCCTGAGGGGCAGAGGGGGGCACTCAAGGGATTGATTGGTAAATTATGAGTTACCTCATCTAAAGGAAAGTGAAATGGATTTTGGAACAAAGCCTTGACCTCGGTGGCTTCTAAGGTGAAAGGGGGAGTTTTTGCAGGATCATCTGTGAAGTGGGATATTTGTGGACCAAATCTTACCAGGATAGTTGTTACCCTGAATTCGTCTTTGGTTCTGTGATACCCATGGGACCTGCATGCAATTTAAGTGTGTTACAGCATCCCAGCCACAAGGCAGAAGGAGCCACACAGTATTATGACATGTCTACTTCAGTGGATTTTAGATACTTCATGCAAAATTAATTGATTCCTGCCTTATAACTGGCTCTCTGTTAGGCACCAGGAGGGGGGAGTGAATACAGTGCAGTTGCTCTCACCTGGAATCTCACAGGCTTAAGGGGGAAGGTGAACAAGCAGGCAAGTGAATTACAGAAACACACTCAGACCACCAGAGGAAACTGGTCCTGCCCCAGATGTTGGATCGGAGTGGGAAGTGAACGGGAACCTTCGGAAAGATTTGGAGGTTAGGTCATGAATCTTTTATAGGTGAGTAGATGGGGCCAGAGGACAATACCAGGGGCTGGCATGTCAAGCAGAGAAAAAGCCTGAACAAGTTTTGGGACTGAAATGGCATGGCCCACACTGAGAACTGCAAGCAGCAATTAGGTGGCTTGAGGGTAGGAGGCAAGGGAGGACACTCAGAGAACAGGCCCTGGAGAGATTAGCAAAGCTCATCCTGGAGGCTGGGCCCGACTGCACATGTTTCAGCTGGTGAACAACACAATGAAATTTGCACTCTGCCAGCTCTGTAAAGGATAGATCCGAGGAGGACATTGATGACTGGAAACCAATCAGGAGATCTCTATGTTCTCTAGCTGGGAGAGAATGCAGCTTTAGCCTGAAGGAGGGGAGGAGAGCAGGCAGCTACCGGGGCTGAGGGGAAGACTGGGATTAGGGAAATAAAAAGGATATGTAGGACTATAAATGTCATGGTCTCCACTTCACGTGTCAAGAGCTGTTTCCAATCAAGGATTAATAGGGTGTTAGCATTCTCAAGGAAAGATGACAAAATCTGAATATCCCAGTCTTAGTTACAAAATGTATGGGAAGGTAGCAAGCTACAGGGTTTCCAGCTATGCAGTAAGAAGTCCATTTAATAAATAGTGCATCCAAACAATGCATTGCTATTCTAAAATGATAGTTTGGTAAGAGAGGATGTGTTGTAACCTTCCTTCTGTTTAGAGGCACTGCAATACACTGGCACCTCCAGCCTTGGGTCATTGAATCTCATTTTTCTGACCTGTAAATATTAGGCTAGTAGTACTGCCACATGGGTTTGATGTGAGAATTAAATAAAATCCAAGCACATGAAAAATGGAAGTGACAGAAGCAGCTGCCAAATGCTACTGATGTCCTTCCTGGCTCCCTTGTTCTCTCCTCAAAAGGTGTTTAAAACTGAATTTCCTTTTCCTTTTCTGCTGAATCTCACAGACTGGGGTCCTGGAGGCCAGTATGAAAGTGTAATGTGTAATTGGCCAAATGTTTAAGTTCCTTGAGGAGAATTTACCTGAAATGCTTGATCTCATGGATAAGGGCATTTAAGATTTCTGTCTCTGCTTTTGCAGGATGTCAGCTGCAATGAGATCACAGCGTTGCCCCAGCAGATAGGCCAGCTGAAGTCTCTACGAGAACTGAACGTCAGGAGAAATTACCTTAAAGTTCTACCACCAGGTAAGAAAGGAGGGAAGAATGGGAGACTTGTATTATTTTTTGGTTTACTTTTGGGAGCAGGGTGGGTGTGGTCATATGTGTGTGCCTGCTAATATTAATAATTTGGATTTCACAGGCAGATAACAGAAAAATGATGCTCAGGCTGTAATTTTAATTAAGGGCTACAGCAACAACATCACTCCCCTCTGCAGTGCTGTGGGGAGTGGGAGGTGCACTAGTTTACTAGGCCTGCTGTAGAAAGAAAGGACCGTAGACTGGGCAGCTTAACTAAAGAAAGTTATCTTCTCACAGTTCTGGAGGCTTAAGTCTGGGAAGGTGCTGGCTGGATCTGTTCCTTCTGAGGCCTCTCTCCCTGGCCTGTAGATGGTCACCTTCTCCCTGTGTCCTCACATCAGCCTCCCTCTCTGTGTGTCTGTATCCTAATCTCTTCTTACAATAACAACAGTGGATCAGGATCACCCAAATGATCTCAACTTAACTTAATATTACCCTTGAAAGGCTGAGCTCCAAATACAGTCACATTCCTACATAGTGGGGTGAGGACTTTCCACAGATGAATTGGGGAGCACACAAGTATGTTCACAATAGGGGACATGCTTGGTCATACAGATCCTGTCATCAGGATCTCTTCTCTAGGGGTTTGGGACCCTGGTTGGGAACTCCCCGAGTCTAAAATCTGTTCTTAGGCAATGGGTGGCTGGTGTCATTGATAGTCTTGGTGAATTTCTCTCAGTACTGAGACTTGACTCCCTCACCCTGTACTCAGCACCACCACAGTGTCTCTCAGACAGTCCTGCTGTAGCTGCTGTGGCCTCTGGTATGCTGTGTCAGGGTACAAGTAAAAAGATGTATGTATTGTGAAATTTTCTACCATCAAGAGCTTAAAAGCAGCCCTGCAGGTGGTAGTGAATCATATTTGGGCTTGGGCCTGGATCAGGATTGAGTTGAAGAGCAGCAGAACTCTGGAGGCTTTTCCAAAACACATTATTCTTTTTTCAAAGATCACACTGGTCCCCATTGTTTTTGCTTAAGGACATTAGACATTTCAAACATATATGTAAAAATAATACTGTATTTGGACGCCATTACCCTTTGATTAATTTGACATTAATGCAGCAGTTTGGGAGCTGCCTGGTTTTTATTGTCCTGTTGCTACATTGTGATCTTTGGCTTGAAAGGTTTCATTATTCAAGGGAAGGAAACAGAGTTCATAAACCACGGGAGAGAATTTGGTAAAGTATGCTGCGCCGGATGGGAGGAAGGGGAGGTGTTTGCACATCTTTCACTTTTCTCAAGTCGACTTTGCATTTTAAAGGAGAATTAGAAACTGTCTCAGCTTAAGATTTATCATATTATTTCTCAGGCAGGACTGTAAAATACGAACAGTGTGGGGGGTACTTGTGGGAGGAAGGAGAGTAAATGGAGGAGATGAAGGTGATATGGTTAATGGGCTTCATATACACACGTGAAATGGAACAATGAAACCTCTTACAATTTCATTAATGGTGGGAGCAATCTAGCCAATGTACAATGTAAGGCTATTTGGAATTGTCACAATGAATCCTCCCTGTACAATGAATATGTGCTAATAAAGATGAAAAAAAATTTTTTTAAAGAGAAATTGGTATTAGATAAGAAAAAAAGACTTATTACATTATCTTTTGAGGTAAATTTGTGTGAAAATAGTGATTTTTCATTTTGTTAGTGTACTATACCTTTTTTTGTATGAAACTTTTTCTTAGTTTAAGCAGGTACAAAAGGAAAACTTTTAATAGCAAATTTACACATATATAACTTTTAGGCATTGAAAACCTTTCATTTAAATATAAGCTCCTTGATAATCCTTGTGAAAATACCACAAATAATTGAATTCCCATTTCCAAAAGGAAAAATTAGTCACATTATTTTATGGTCTTCGTTTAGAAATGTGTGGAAAGAAAGTGCACCTGCAAAATCCAGGATTTTGTTTCTCTTCTTACAAATCAGTTATAAATTGCTCTATTTTACGTAATTAAGTTTTCTCAGTTTTGGTATTTTAAAACACTCAGAACTAAAACATTAGTTTGTTGGAAAACCTTTTTCAAAAAAAACAAAAAAAAAACCTTCCTGAATATCAAGTTTCTTTTTGCTTCACTCTGGAGCTCTCTATTGACAAAAGAGCATTGATGATGCTTTCAGGCAGTGCATTAAGGACTTTCCATATTTACTTACACATTCGTCTTCTTTGGAACCCCTTCTCATGTGCTTTCAACTTGAGGAGGAAAGAAAGAAAAGTTTGTGACCTAATTACCCATATCAGTTTGCGGTTCTGTTACAGCTACTGTATTGAGGAGACCTTTTTTTCTTTTTTTCCCTAGGACCGGAATGAGTAGAGGACAAAAATTGCCATTCATTGTCCCCTCTTTGCAATGGAGAAAGAAAAGAAGGGCTCTTCCTACTCTCCTCCTGCTTTTCCTTCTCTTCCTCCTCTTCCCTTTCCTCCTCCTTCACCTGTTTCTTCTTTCCCTTCCTGCTCTGTTTCTTTTGGCCTTTTCTGGGTTGACCTTGAAGGATTATCATATTCTCTTTAGCTTTATTGCTGTGAAATTATATAGATCTCATTTTCCTGAACTATTATGGAAATTGTGCTCCAAATTGAGACGGAAAGAAAAGGCAATAGTTGTTATACAATCATTCCTTATTTTATTTACTTGTAAGTTACCTCCTGCTGTGTCTTCCAGGAATTTAGTCCTCTAGTCTGCTTCAGAGTCTTTATTTAAGTGATAAAGAATTGCTGAAGATCCAAAGTCTTGCTAAATTTGGGCACTGATTTGCTAACCTGACCCTAGTGAGCACTGGGGGTTATAAGAAGGTATTCCTCTCATGTCACCGCCTCCTCAGCTTTCTACATACCATGACACAGAAGGGGATCTTATTTTACCTTTCCTTTCACTTGCATGCCTCCATGTCCCCCAGACTTACCTTGTCCCTCCCTCTCCAATACTTCCAGATGCTCAGAGCCTCTTTATCAAAACAACTACCACAACTAGTGTGGCTTAAAGCCCATGTCTATCCCTCAAGCAGGGAGGAGAGCTGGATCTGAACCATGAACATTCAGTACAACTTGGAAATATAGATTCACTGGCTTCAGATCCAGGTGTCTGTATTTTTAAAAAATAAACTTCCTGAGTTTCTCCTACAAAGCCCACATGTCATGGGCCTGACTTTAGGACCTCCTGCTAGAATTTCACTCTCATTATTCTTCAAGCAATTTGTTAGGTATGAAAGAAGGAAAGTCCCTTACATTCCCAGAGTGTGCTGAATGCTGAGAAGAAGCAGTGTGGCTCCTAGGGGAATTTGGAGGTGGAATTTGAAGTAGGATGGCTGAGAGCCCTCTGGTAGTGTAGGGGAGGGGAGATGGTGCCAGTTCTTACTCTAGATCACTGCCTTAGGCTCCTCTTATCTAGTTCCTGCCTTTCACTTCAGGACTCCTGGAATATTTTAAAGCTCCATGCTTTAGTCCCCGACAGCTCCCATAATAAAAGCCCTGGCTCTGCTCTGATGTGACCCTCCATAGCCTCCACACAAGATCCTATTAATGGAGCCCGTGTAGTCTGTGATCAGAAAACTTCCAAACTTCTTGGTGTCCTGCGGGAAGAATCCATGGCAGGACACATGGGTGTGAATGGAGCTCATTAAAAGTTAGAGAAGGGAAATAAAAAAGGAAGCATTGTGGGTGCAGGTGGACTCTGCCAATAGAGAGAGCTTGTCTTCTTCAGGTACCTTTAAAACTTATGCTAATCTAGGGGATGAGGGGAACCAGGTGATTTCCAATAGTCAGTGAGTGGGGAGGGGCATGGGTGGTTCCTGGCCAGGTGAGGGTGGTCCGGGCCATCCCTGGGCAACCTATGTATGAGTCCTGAACTTTCCCTACTTCTATCCTACCTCGATCTCAGTGATTTGCCAAGGTCACCCTAGTTTCTGGCATGGCTCAGCCTCTCTGCTCTATGGAATATATTTCTAGCAGCTGCCAGCGTCGGTTTGAATGCTTGAAATTACTGAGTGTTTACTGTGCTGCTGGGTGGGGATTTTAGGCTAAATATAATGTTCCATCTTGTAAGCAGAGCAAAAGAAGATCTTAAAAGCAGCAAGGCCTCATCGCATCAGAATCATGCCACCCATTGGAAAATCGTAAATTAGATAACATTTTAAAAAATTGCAGTTGCAAAAACACCATGAACATATTTACTGTAACCGTTTTTTAGCAGTATGCCAGCTCAGATACATTGCATAGCTAAGGATGCTCTGTAATTAGCACATCATTCAAGTGCTAGCAAGTGCTACTTGAAAACAGTTTGAAGTTAAATCACAAACATGGCTCGGCTCTCATGATTCTTTTGCTGAAAAAAAAGGCTTTTAATCAACAGATATTGTAAATGTCAAGTGTTTTTAGCTCTTATCAGAACTAACTTGAAGTCACCAAGCTCCCAGTACAAAGTGTCCCAGTGAGTGAAATACTATATACCCATATCATGTGCAAATGCACAGCTTGCTTTGGGTTATGCTAAGTATTTTTTCTCCCATTTAGGTGACAAATTAATTTTTGAATTCTTTAGCCATTTGGTCTTACTTTCTAAAATTTCTTTCTTTTGTTCTTTTAGAACTAGTAGATCTTCCCTTGGTAAAGTTTGACTTCTCCTGCAACAAGGTGCTCGTGATTCCAATCTGTTTTAGAGACATGAAGCAGCTGCAAGTGTTACTGCTGGAGAACAACCCCCTACAGTCCCCTCCCGCACAGGTGAGGTCAGCCACCATCGCTGCAGAGCTGGGTTTAAATATACCCCATTTGTTTTCAATTTTCACATGAGTGTCACTGTGACATTTTCGTATGTTCATACATTCATATTCACCCCCCCATCAACCTCTCTCTTCTCCTCTTACCTCCCACTGGTCTCCACAATAGTCACCCTTTTATATCTTTTTTAAAAAAGATTTAGATTCTGCATATGAGAGAAAATAGGCGATATTAATCATTCTGAGTCATTGCTTAACATGATGAGTCCAGTTCCATCCATTTTCCTGCATATGAGATAATTGCATTCTTCTTTATGGCTGAATAACTGTGTGTGTGTGTGTGTGTGTGTGTGTGTGTGAGTATGTATATACACACTGTACGATGTGCATGTATACTGTGATATATACACACCTATACTACATTTTCTTTATCCATTCATCTGTGAATGGGCACCTGGGCTGATTCCACAACTGGGCTGTTGTGAACAGCATTACATTAAGCATGGATGTGCAGGTATTAGGGTCAGGGTTTTGGATTATCTGCTGAATTTGTACTGTAGTATACATGATCAAAGCAGACACCGTTTTTAAAGAAGATGAAACCTTGAGTCAAGCTGACTATAAATTGCTTTCTTGGCCAAGCTTGGTGGTTCACATCTGTAATCCCAGCTACTTGGGAGGCAGCAATTAGGAGGATCATAGTTCAAAACAAGCCTAGGGTTCAAGCTCAGATATAAAACTGCATGAGAACAATATGAAGCATATATGGTTTCAGATGATTATATAAACATTTTCCAGTTTATTTTTTCAGATAATTTAATAGCTTTTAAATCTGAATTATTTTTAGACTCTTAATTGCTTTTTTATGGGCTTGAAAATAATTGTGCTTTTGTAATTGGACTGTTTGCCGTCTAGTTATTTGTCATTTACACTGAATGGACTTTTTATACTTAAATGTGTTTCTGTTAGAATTTTGTGGTTTAATTTTTAAAAATCAGAATTGCTTGAGCATGGTTCTCTACTCCAACTAGAAATTGGAGGGAGTAGCTCCCCAAATTCCTATACATTCTGGAGAGGTCAACTTCAGTGGCCATTGTTACTTACAAAGAAGTCGTAATGATTAAATACATGGTCAGGTGTCTAGGACTTGAATTTTGCTTTGTCATTGAAAAATTAATACATATTCCTCATCTTTCCATAGATCTGCACAAAGGGCAAAGTGCATATATTTAAGTATCTGAGCATACAAGCATGCCAGATTAAGACAGCAGACTCACTTTATCTCCAGTCCATGGAGAGGCCACATTTGCACCAGCATGTGGAGGACAGGTGAGTCGATGCCTTCCTTTCCTCAGAGCCATGTTCAGAATGTGTTCGGGCCAAGGCTGTGGAGGTAACTGGCTTCAAAAACCTGCTGGCTTCACTTACCTGGTTCAGATTTATAACTCAGCACTTGGGAAACCATTGGAATAATAAATGGCAGTGAGAAATTCTGCCATCTCTCACATCTCATCCCCCTCTCTTGATCAATAGTCAGTCCTCCTGTGAGTGGCTGTAGATACTTAGGAATACAATCTACACTGTAAATATGAGTATTTTTGCTTATCAATTAGAACAACTCTATCAGACTCAACTATTTTAACAATAAACAAATTTTAAGTTAATAATTGCTTTAAAAATTTTAATAACTATATTAAGCTTGACTATTTTAGCAATTATTAATTTTCAGTATGCCTGAAGAACATAGTTAGGATCTCTAGGCTTTCTCTTTTGTCTTTTAAAATGTAATGTGCAAAACAAAAAATTCAGTGTGTGTAGTTTTTAACCATTTAACCATTGAATTGTTACAGAGTTGTTGAAAGTAGCATTTCCTATCCTAAGAGATAAAAACTTTTATGTACTTTACTGCTGTTTTTGTATGTTAGAATAAATAAAATAAGGAAATTGGTGTTTCCAAGAAACAACTTGACCTCTAAGAGGAGGAAACTCTGAACACAAAGAGTTTGTCCTGTATTCTGTTTAGATAATATAAGAATATGATTTTCATTAGATGCATAGCTTAATATTCTTTAGAACTGATTACTGTATAATGGTAATAATAATATAGAGCAAAGTCTTTATTAAAATATGAATTGTTATATCTTAGTTTGAACTTTATGATTTTACTTTTTCCTAAATGAATTCAATATTGATGACATCTACCCCAGCAAGAAGGATTCTGATTCAGGAGTTGGAAGTGATAATGGAGACAAGCGGTTATCTGCCACCGAGGTAAAGCTAGTGATCAGATCTTTCCTAAATAAATACTGACTGTTGTTAGCTTATTATGTATCTTTACTATTTTGGAAACACCTCAAGAATAGAGTCCCTGTCTTCTTCTCCCCCACTCCACATTCTCTGAAATGTTCTTTTTTTTTTTTTTCATACTACAGGATTGAAACCAGGGCCTCACACATGCTAAACAAGCACTCTACCTCTTGAGCCATGCCCCCAGTTCTTTTTGCTTTAGTTTATTTTTCAGATAGGGTCTTCCCAGGTCAGCCTTGGATGGCAATCTTCCTACTTCTGTCTCCTGACTAGCTGGGATGGTAGGCGTGAGCCACCAATGCCTGGCTGGCATATTCTTGAGTACGCAAAGCACTTTCATTAATATGCTTGTTTTTTAAGTAACAGTAATCCAGGAAAAAGTTGTTACATGCATGCATTAATGTAAGGAATTAAGTATACATTGCATTTTAGCAGTTTACCAGCCTGAAACATTTATAACTAGCTGTAGTTTTTATAACCATATGTTTTCCTGAACATCTTAGATTGCATTCTGTTTTCTTCCGATAATTGGATAAAAGTTTGTATGCTAAGAGGACATAAATGCTAGAGCTTTCCACAGTGATGTTAAGGTACTCTGCATTAGCATATTTATTGTCTCACACGTTGTGTGTTAAATCACCCAAAAATCATTAAATGGACCCCTCCCCCTTACCCCCGGTGCTTGCCAGGCAGGTACTCCACCAGCCCTTTTTGTGTAGATTATTTTTGAGATAGGATTTTGCTTTATGCAATAAAGCAAAAAAATAGTTTGATGACAGGTACTTGCCACCACACCCAATCAGTGATTGAGATGAGGTCTCACAAATATTTTGCCTGGGCTGGCCTCAAACTGCCATCCTCCCAACATGCACCTCCCAAGTCAGGCTTGAGCCTTTTTTGAGGGAATCTTCTGAGTTCTTGTGATTACTGAATTTTGAAACATTGTAATACAATCTTGAGGTTGTAATTAATTAGATTGATCACTTCGTCTAAAGTCACATTTTTACAATATGTGATTCCAGGAAAAAGCTTTTTTTTTTTTTAGATCTTCGAGGTCTAGTCAGTAGCTAAGATATTTGATTTGTTTTCCACAAAATGCTCTCTAAAGCTGTGTATTAAAAAAAACAACTTGGATTTCTTAACATTTTTCTAATACAGAACATTTTGAAAGGAAGAAGAATTAGTAGGCGGAAAAAGAAAGCCAATGGCAATAAAAGAAAATGGCCCACAGGAAGCCACATTAATAGTTTACTGTGGTTCCCTGGTGGGGGTGGGAATACTAAACACATAGCTTTGTAAGCTGTATTTTAATTCATCCATTTGTCTTTATTAAAACTCAGAAGTCCCCTCAAATGAACCATTGTTGCAGAAACTACTCATTCTATGCGTATTTTCTATTAAACTAAAACAGTCCCTACTCTATCCTTTCTCTCTCTTGTAAGACTAATTAAGTTCATTAATAAAACATTACACAAAAACTTCATTATCCTTCCCTTCTCACTTAGTGTAAGTAGAATGCTCATATCATCCTGAAAAGAGCCCAGCACTTTATTCTTTCCTTTGTAATTCAATGTACTTCTTTGGAATTGTGCTCAGTTTTAAAGATGGGAGGAAGATGGAAGAAAGATAATATTCAGTAGAATAAAATGGCCAAATCTTCTCTTTGGCTTTTTTTACTCTCACACAACAATTTTATTACGTAAGTATTCCTACAAGAAACTAATTTTGTAGGATAATGGTACTGAATTACCCATGTCAGTTCCAATTTTACTTTGTTTGGGAAACATGTTACCATCCAAAGTCACTCCCCATTTACATCTGATTGTGGGACTTAGAGGTCACATCTGTGTGACCTCTTTCTTTGGCTATTACATTGTCCGATTAATTTAGCATTTGCATGAAGACACTAAATACATATTTTTGTCAAGATAGTTAAGCAAGATCCTGTGGGGGCTCTATGAATATTCGTTTGATGGATGAAGCATGCTTGCTTCCCACCATGTTCCAGACAAACCCGTACAGGTATCCAAAAGTAAATAAGGACAAATTGAAATTGTAGCCTTGAGAATTTAGGAGCAAGCCACACTCACCTGAAATGTGTTCCGTGGAGGTTTCTGCTCCCTGTGACTTGGAAATCTTGCCACTTAATAGCAACACTAAAATGAAGACATGGGAAAAGAAATGATGCTGCACATTTCACTTGGGGCAGAATCATAGATTTTCTAAATGAGCTTCCTCAGCTAGTGTAGGAAGGGAAACCCTCAGAAGGTACAAATGCCATTATTATTTTGAAGGTTTGTGCCAAAAATCACACAGAACACATGCTTCTTAAAACTATTACAATTGTTTAGCACCTTTTTATATTTAGTGCAACTTCCTTAGCCTAAATCAGGGAGATGACCAAAGTTTAATGTCACATGCAAAATGCATTCTTAGGTAAATGAATTATTTTCACAGAAATTGTCTGTTTTTTGTGACTAGCCATGTGAAATTTTCATGTAGTTTTGGTAAATTAGCTTTGTTGGCAGATCTCAGAGAACCATCACTATTAAAATGATTGATTAGACTTGGGCTAATGTGATTGTATATTTACAACTATTCCTGTGTTATGTTGGATATTGCACAGTCCTTTTAGTGCCCTGACCATGGCTCTTAGTTTAGATTTCAGCTCAAAACATACATACAGAAGTCACATGCACACAGTAAGTGTTAGCTGCATCAGTTTTCACAGTGAACATACCCATACGACCAGCTCCCAGTTCACGAAACACTTTCACTGGCACCCCTGAAAGCCTCACTCGTGCCCACCCATCCCCGAGAATACTACATCTTCACTTCAACATCATGGATCAGATTTGCTGTTTTTGAACTCATATAAGGGGAATTGTCCTTTGTTTCAGGTGTCTTTTACTCATTACGTTTGTTAGAGCCCAGGACATGATTCTGTTACATTGTTTTCTCTTTATCTCCACGGATAAAACGTCTCTCATGAATGAAACAGTGCCTTCTGTCTTTTTAGCCTTCTGATGAAGACACAGTTAGCCTCAATGTGCCAATGTCAAATATCATGGAGGAAGAACAGATCACCAAGGAGGACGCATGCCATCATCTTACCCCATCTGAAGGTCGGAGACGAAAAAATGGAGGGGAAGTGCTTGCTGTTTAGTTTCAAATGTTAGCTTTAGAATAATGTGTACAAACATGGTGGCATTGATGGTTCCTATTTATTTATTGTATTTCTCCTGAACCGGGCATTGTGTTTATCTGGGAAGGTGATCTCATTTAAAATTCAAAACTCTGAGATAGGTCTTCTGCTCATCTAAGTTTTATAGGGGTGGAAATCAAGATTCAAAGATTTTAAGTAACTTGCCAGTGGTCCCACCCGCCAGAGAGCTATTCTTGTTCTGAGTTTATAGGAGATTCTTTCAGTCCATTTTTGGGAAGAAAATACTGAAATGGTAGACATATTAGTTAGGACAACTCTAGCTGCTCTCATACATAAAATTCTCAAATCTCAGCAACTTAACACAATGCAAATTAAGTCTATATGGAAGTTAATTAACAGGCAACTTCCATCTAAGAGTCGACTCAAGGACCCAAGCCCTGTTCACCCTGTGGCTGCACCAGCTTTAACACAGGCCTTCCAGAGTCCACATGTCCATTTGCGCTAAGCCAGAAGAACAAATGGAGGTTGGTCCTAAGGGGTTTTGTGTGTTCAGCCTAAAGCGTCCATCACTTGTAAGAAGAATTTCCTTCCATGGCCACATCTTGCTACATGTGAGGGAGGAAAGTACTTGCGTATTTCTAAACTATGTTTAGAAATATACTTGACCTTGGAGAATTCAGTTAACCTTAATTCTGTCCCCTGTAAATGAGATGATTAGATGAACCGATCTCTAGACTGCTTTATACCTCCAAAGTTCTGTGGCTCTAGTAGTTATCAAATGATCACTAAACACAGTAGCTTGTGAATCTTCAGAATACTCGTCATCTATTTGGTCACATTGTGGCAGTATTTTGGTGGCTTCTGTTTGAACAATGACTTTTAAATGTAGTGACTATTAATTTGTGGCAGAGACTATTTCATGATGTATAAATAATATAGAACTAAATTAATACACAAATTATCTCCATAGTAGTTTGAATGTGCTCTTATTAATGATGAGAGAGCTGTTCAAAGCAACTCAGACTTTCATGTTTGCTTTCACTTCTCAGATTTAGGTTTTTAAGTTTATCACCTAAGGTTAGCATTAAACTTAATGAGACTATGTTGGGAACCACACATTGTCCCAAACTATAACTGTATACTCGCATACGCTGTATTCATTCATATAAACTTCATCATATTATGTAGCAAGTATATTGTCTGTTACTAGTGAACTTTGTCTGTCTGTTCTAGATCTGGGTATCTTGCTAGCTCAAAGTACTTAAAGGATAGCCCTGTTTGGTTCTTTTTAGTCTTCATATTGGCCCAAAGAGTTCTCCATGCTGTTCCTTTTGCCTTCCTTATGTTCCCTGGCACAGGTTCCTGTTGGTGTGCTCACCAGAGCATGCTTTTGCCTCTGTGTGGCCTTTCTTATAGTCACTTCTATTGTTGCTAGGATTTGGAGCCCTTGTCTAGTCTCATCCCACACTTCCTTGAGATTGTTTGCTGCTGAAGGACAAGAGTCATACTTGGTTGACTTTTCTAACCCCTAAAATGTACAGCATAATCCCTGTCATTTAGCAGGCACTCAGTCAATATTTGTTGAATTTGGAATTTGAAATAACTAGTGCATATTTCTGAGGATACAAAAACTCTCTTTTATAATTTACTTTCTCCATTCCTTAAAAAAGTAAAAGGAAAAGAAATTCATTTTTTTTTCAAAAGGAATTAAGCCTTAAAGAGACCTTGGCTTTTTAAGTTCAGTTTGGGCTTTCTGTTTCTTTTACTTTTCTTCCTCTTCCTTCTATTTTTAATCTTTCCTCACATACTGTGGGGAAGAGAGAATTTGAGTTATTCATGTATTCCCATAATAGGTAAAGAGAGAAGATGGGAACAATTAGATTGCATGTTAGGGGATCATCTGTGCTTTGTGCTTCTGTTCATGAAATCATGCTTTCTTCCTTTCTCTGTGTTTTTCTAATAGGGGAATTTCATCAGGAATTTCAACCAGAGCCTTCCCTTTTGGGCGACAGCAACAACTCAGGACAAGAAGGAGACCAGTTTGTGGATGGACCAGATGTTCTTCATTCGTGATTTATCAGCTATATTAAGGCAGGGTTTTTGAGGACCAACCAATTTTTTTACCCATTTTCTCCTGTTTAGCACCTTAAATCTCAAGTTCAAGGTTTCTAATCCATCATTTCCAAGCCAGCACATCCCTTAAAAGCTCACTGTGTCTGTTTTCTGATGTTAGATACTGGTCCCACCATGCATCTCTCTTCATTTGTCTGGTTACTTACGATTTTTTTTTTCTAGTCAGAAATGTCAGCTACTTACTGAGTCATTCAATTAACAAACTTAACAGAATTTCATCACCACTCAGGAAGAGCTGAAATCATTTACATTCTTCTCAGTGGTTTCTTGGTAAATACGAATACAGGTTAGTATCCTTATGCAAATGCTTGGAACCAGAAATATTAGCCTTCCCTTTTGGGCGACAGCAACAACTCAGGACAAGAAGGAGACCAGTTTGTGGATGGACCAGATGTTCTTCATTCGGGATTTATCAGCTATATTAAGGCAGGGTTTTTGAGGACCAACCAATTTTTTTACCCATTTTCTCCTGTTTAGCACCTTAAATCTCAAGTTCAAGGTTTCTAATCCATCATTTTCCAAGCCCAGCACATCCCCTTAAAGCTCACTGTGTCTGTTTTCTGATGTTAGATACTGGTCCCACCATGCATCTCTCTTCATTTGTCTGGTTACTTACGATTTTTTTTTTCTAGTCAGAAAGTGCTCAGCTACTTACTGAGTCATTCAAGTTAACAAACTTAACAGAATTGTCATCACCACTCAGGAAGAGCTGAAATCATTTCACATTCTTCTCAGTGTGTTCTTGGTAAATACTGAATACAGGTTAGGTATCCCTTATGCAAAATGCTTGGAACCAGAAATATTTCAGATTGTGGAGTTCTTTAGATTCTGGAATGTTTGCATAGGCTGTACAGGATGAACATCCTTAATCCAAAAGTCTGAAATCTGAAAATCTAAAACTCAGAAAGTTTATGTGGCTCTAAGAGTTTCAGATTTTGGAGCATTTTGGACTTAAGATTTTAAGATCAGGAATGCCTATCCTATATATCCAAAGTGTAAAGAGAAAGATGAAGACTTTTCAAAATCTGGAAATGAGTATTTGTTTTCTCTTTCTGGACAGGCCACTTTGAGGACACTTATGCTTAGAACTGTTGTAGTTACCCCAGAGTGTTGAAAGGGCAGGAGAAGTTGCTAGGTTTTCAGGAGAGCTAGTGTAATGTCTTTGGACATATATTTTTCATCACTCTGTGTATGTCTGTGAATTACCTCAATAGCACCATGAATATTGGTTTTAGGGCTACAAAAAATTTAATGAGTAGGCAAATTCACAAATACAAGAATCCATTTTATAACCCTCTAACTTAGAAACTCAGTAAGCCTATTTTGCATAGTGAAAAAGATAGATGTTCCATACAATTGACTACTTTTAATTTTGAAACCAAAAACTTAGGAGGAAGTACCCATGTCTGCTATAGTTGAAACCAGTGAGAAGAGCTAGAAAATGGTGTCCTGGTAATGCCTGGTAGTCTATTTACATCCATGGATTTTGCTATCATTTGAAAAGTGACACAGTAGTTTATATGTTGACATTATTGTGCACTAAAAGCAAAATCAATATAGGAAAATCCCCAGTGTTTTTCAAGCCAGAGGCCACATTGGAGAGTTAGCCCATTCCTCAGAGAAAGTCTCATTTTAATGACAGTCCTGGAGCTTTGCTGGTCCTGAGCTAGTTAAGATGGGCCCCACAGTCCTTTAATCTGGTGATCTTTCCTTGCCAGGGAAAAGCAGCCACTCTGGGGTGGCTCACCTTTGAGTGTCAGCCCAGCAAAAGCATCATTTTCCTGTGTCCAAGAGGAAAGCATGAGGAAGCATGTGAAAGGCCACAGAGTGAATACTTTCTCAGTGTTCCCTCCCACTGCAGTGCTGCTTTGGGGAGAGTTGGGGTGAGGTGCAGAACAGTGAGGTCTGATGTTACATGCCTGAAAACTACTGGATTCAGTGTGGGGCATTTTTCTGTTAAGTACCAGTGAGTTAAGTATCAATGAGGAACCCAGTTAAAGCTTTAGGGTTCTGATGCTAGGTTTACAGATGCTGTGGTCTTGGGCCAGATTGTTTTTGTTTTTGTCTTTAATTTCCTAAGCTTTAATTGTAGTAAAACATATATAACATAATATAATAGCCTTTTTATTTTTGAGACAGGGTCTCACTTTGCTGCTCAGGCTAGCCTTGAACTCATGGTCCTTCTGCTTTAGCCTCCCAAGTGCCAGAATAATAGGAATGCACCACCATGCCTGTTGCATCTTAGCCATTTTTGAAGAGCATGGTGCAGTATGTGTTAAATACATTCACATTGTTGTGCAACCAATTTCCAGCACTTTCCTCATCTTGCATAATAGAGACTTTGTACTCAGTAAGCAACCTTTCCTCCTTCCCCTGTCCCCAGGGCTTGTGGCAACCACCACTCTACTTTCTGTCTCAATGAGTTTGACTCATATGAATATCTCAATGAGTGGAGTTATAAGTTATTGTTTTTCTAGCTTATCACTCAGTATAACCTCCACACGGTTCATCCATATGTGTAACATATGTAGGAATTTTCTCCTTATTAATGAATATATCCCATTATACATCCATACCATGTTTTGTATATCCATTTGTCCATCAGTGGACACTTGGCTTGCCTTTTGGCTCTTACAAATTATATTGCCATGGATGTGGGTAGGGCAGGTTTTAATTCTTTATTGAAAAGCCAAGTAGCTCTCAGGAAAACTGTGTGTTCCATCTGCAGGACAGGGCAGAGGACTGTGAAGAGCTGTTACGGATAGAAGAGGACACGCACTGGCAGATGGAGGGAATGTGAGTGCCAGGGACATGGTGATGGGCCATCATTCCTGGAAAATGCACTTTTCAAGCACATTGGCAACCCTGTCCTGATAGAATTTTGACCCACTTTTCTTTGGGCAAGCTGATATTTTTACCCAAAGTAATATTGACTAAAAAGTTGCCTGTTTTCATCTGTCTGATGCTTGTTGTATCTAAGATACATACAGTGTATCTTAGACTGTTTAGTGCTGCTCTAATGGAATACCATAGACTGGGTAATTTTTAAATAGAAGTTTATTTGGGTTACAGTCGTGGAGGCTGGGAGGTTCAATATCAAGGGGATGCATCTAGTGAAGGCTTCCTTGCTACCTATAACATGGCAGAAGACATTACATGGCAAGAGAGTTTGAGAGAGAGTGGTGAACTTTCTTTGATAAGGAACCCATTGCTATGGAAATACCATTAATCTCATTACCTCATGAAGTCCCATCCTTCAAGACTATTGCATTAGGGATTGAGTTTCCAGCACAGGAACTCTGGGAGATACATTTAAACCACAGCACGGTGGAAAGTTGTGCCTTTTTGTGGACCTTGGGTTTTAGCTGATTTGAGGCTGTAGGTAGAAATGTTATTCGGAGAGTTAAATTAAATAGAGTATCTACAGTGGAGATTCTATCTTCCTACTATTTGCCTAAAAAAGTCAATAACTGAACGTAAAGTGAAGTAGTCTGTAGTGCTGATCTGCTTCTTCACCCAGGCTCTTCCGGTTCAGTATTAATCACATTTTGTTTGTTTGGTGGCACTGGAGTTTGAACTCAGATCACTGTGCTTGCTAGGCAACTGTTCTACCACTTGACTACTGGTTCAATCTTAGAAAGTCTTTAATGTCCTGGTCCCAAGTCTAATAACGGTCACAGCTGACATTTATTAACACTACATGCCTGGCACTATTCTAAAAGTCAAGACTCATTCATCTCTACAGCAGTCCCTAAGTTCTGCTGTCTCCCTTTTGCAGATGATAAAGCTTGAACACAGAGCGATTGATGATCTTGCCTGCAAGGTCACAGAAGGCCAACACTTCCCCTAGGACTCTTGTACCTCATGGCTGTCCCTTCTGTTCTGTTATCTGTAAAAATTTATTTGGCAAGATCTTCAGAGGAGGGAATGAGTGATCTCATCAGACTGAGCAATTTCCAGGGGAAATTAAGTTTGGAACCTATTACATGGAGAAGATTTTGGGTCCCCAAGATTTTGTTTTCCATGATCTGAGACGCAGACCTGGACCTTGCATCATACTTTGTGGGGATTTAAATTTTTCTGTATGTGCAGAAATTCATTGGCTTATATTCTGGAGGAGAACAACTAATCAGGATCCAATTTCTCTTACACGTTAAAAACACTGGAAAGTTCCTCTTCAATTGCCATCTGTATACTAGCTGATCATTGGGTAGATTTGTGAGCCACCAAGGAGGTCTAGCTTGATTATAAAATCACTGGCATAGAGAGTTATTTTAAAACTACATAAAGCTTTGGAAACAGGTTGTTTTCAACCCTGGCTATAAATCAGGATCACTTATAGAGCTTTATAAAACACCCAACCCTACTTGAGGTCAGACTGACTTGGGAGTGTCCTGGCCAGGCATATTTCTTAAGCAGTGCAGTTGATTTTGCTACATATAGAACCTAACTGAGAGCCACTCTCTAAGACTGCATGAGATGGTTGAACTGGAGTTGGAAGGCTTAGAAATACTGCAGACTACTACTCATTGGAGCCCCCTGGAAAGCCCTGTGGAACTCAGGAAAGGGCACTGAAACTCATAGATTATAGATTGCCTGACTCTACAAAGGAGCAGTTGGGAACCCACAGCATTGAGCTGACCTGGGCGTCCCCCTCCCATGAGCACTTCCCACCACACTCTGGCACCTACCCCTCAGGATTCTGACATGTCTTCATTGTAGTGTTGAATTGATCAAAAACATTTTTATAAGTTTGATGAATTTTTACAAGTTTACCCTCAAGAACCTAGATGATACTCATGTTTTAGTGATCATTTCCATTCTTGTACTTGGTTTCATGTTGCAGAGTAAGTTCATCCAAAGATCAGAACATGGATATGGTCATGATTGAGCAGCTAAGAGACACAGTAGATTTGCTGCAAGATCCCAACAGGTATGCATGTCTTTCCTTGGCCCAGATTTTGCATGTAAATGATGACTACTAATTTTTTTGAGCACATTATCTCAATTTCTAAAATGTTTATACATATGTTTTCTTCTCTGTCTAACCACTAAGAGTCGAGTCATTTTAAGTACCTGTTTTCCAAGGCCCAAAAGTAAAAGAGTCAAATTTCTGCATAGATTGAGATCACTTCCCCCTTTTTCTACCTCTCACTCAAATTCATTTACCTCTCATGGAATTCACATGGGATTTTGGTATAATTCTTAGAGTATGGTAAAAGTGCATAAAGTTTAAGGTGCTGATTTGTAGAAATACAAGGGAAAATTTTGTAAAATGGAAATTAAATAAACAACTGCAGCTATATTTATTTTGGATAGTGCCAAATATATGTTCATTAATATATTTCTAACGATCTTGGGCTGTAGGTTACTTTTTAAATTTGAATTTGGCTGCTGTAAATAATGTATACTCTATGCCTTGGTGGTACTTTTTGGTTTCTTATCTAAGGATAGTGGAATTTGCATGAACAAAATATTAAGATGGTATCAGGTATCAAATAATAACTACGTGACCACTAGAGAGATAGATCCAAAGCTTATCCCTGGGAAACTGTTCAGAAGTCCCAGGCATTGAAATGTGAAGATGATGTTGGTCTTGTAAGATGGAAATCACGGGAATCCCACCACAGCACTTTTAGCTGGGTTCTGAGAACAGTGCACTTTGTGAACATAGAGCACCAGCAAGGGCACTCCAACAGTGCCACCTGGCTCTGAAAGAACAGTGACAAGTCAGGCTCATTGTGGCTGCAGATTCTTAATAGTTTATTGAGAAGCATTTCAGCGATGCAGAATTGAAACTCAGTTGAGTGCTTACAACATGGGAAGACCTGCAGTCTGCACCTTGGGGAATGTAAAGGTGAACCAGACAGCTCTGGCCTCCCAAGCCCTTAGGGCTTGCTATATGCTCGAGCAGTTCCTGATAAGTGCTCTGTGTTCCTGGCCTCAGTTTCTTCTTTGTTGGGAAATGGGTTGAAACAAGGAGCTCTAAATTCCTCCCCAGCTCTGAAATGTCTAAGGCAATGAATTGGATGGGTTGGGATGGTAGGAGTGTAAGAGAACATCCCTGAATAGTATCTCTGTTTTGGTGGGACTTGGGTTTGAACACAGGGTTTCACTCTTATAAGCAGGAATTCTACCACTTGAGTCACTCCTCCAGTCTGAGAACATCCCTGAGTAATATCAGTGCTGTTTTGAAAATAAATTATGTTGGAAAACTTTATGTAGATTTCATTTCTTCCCTAAAATAATCCACTACTTTGGCTACTTCACATATTTGTTCTTTATCTTGAAATAATTACTACACTATAGTCTTATTTTCTAATATTTCTGAGGGCAGTGTAATATGGTAAAGGAAGAGCCATGGTTTTGCTTCTGAGAGAAAGAGTGCACTTCAAGAGGTTGTTTAATTTTAGCTGCTTGAATAGTAGCAATAGAAGAGTTTATATTCACATTGGGTTTTTCCTTTATCTGATATTTCATAGAGCCATGTGTTTTTTCTTTTTAAAGTTAAGCTGCTGACTATAGGATTAAGTTTTAAGGTTTGCCTTAAAATCATGATTTTATCCAAAATTTATCCAAAATCATATTATATTGTAAATAAGTTGGATTTTAGTGCCAAAAGTAGATGAAAAATTGTATTTTGTTAAATAGTAAGAAAATATCCTGCTGTTTGAAATTTCTGTCATAAATCCTTACATAATCCTAACGATAAGCATCACTTTTTCAATATATTAAACTTTTAAGGTAAATATGACTGATAGAATTTATAAAAAGTAAAAGTTTAGTAAATTGACATCTTTTTCTCTCTTCCTTAGACTAAGCACAGACATTACAGAGAGAAGCATTTTAAATCTGTATCCTATAGAATCAGCAGACACTTTAGAATTACCAGATTCTGCACTAAAGTACGTTTGCCTTTTTATAACTCAGTATATTTTCTCTTTTTTACATTGAAATATTTGTGCTATAAATTCCTATGCATGTCTTTTTTTCTTTCTTTCTTTGTTGCTACAGTGGTCAAATACAGTTGGAGACATCTCCGGTGTGTGAGGTAAGGCCAGACTTCTGCCGCAGAATACTCACTGCTATATTCTGTAAACAGGTTTGTCAGGGGAAAAAGCATTGTGAGAAAGGCCGGTAATCTTCAAGACACATCTTTCCACTTTTTCATCCTTTTATTGTCTTTAGTTCTGCTTTTTACCTTCCATGAAAGGTGAGAGTTGTCTATTTCTATGAGGTTGTCTTAACAACCTGCACTATCCTCTGCAGGATAGTGTTGCAGAGTCAAGCAATGGCTGCTAAAATACATAAGGAACCTCCTCTGTGTCAGAAACAGTAAAGGAGGCCCATTAGTCCAGAGTTTAGATCCAAGAAAGAAGTGTGGTCAAGTGAAAATGAACTAGGAAAGACCTGAAGGGATATCTAGGAAGATCAAAAGAATAGTATAAGAGAAACTGGTGGGGATGTTTGGGGATGGGTTAAGAGTAGGTTAGGTAGAGTTACATGGGATAAAATTTGGGTGGCTGTAGAGGGAGCAGTCTTGACATAAAACTAGAGATGTGCCTGACATATCCCAAAGAAAGATTAGTTACCCAGTCATGGAGAGATCAGTTTGAGCTGGTGATCTAGAAGGTACATGTGTTATAATCTGTTTCATCCCTTCTTACTGAATGGGTTTAAGATGGCTAATTTAGGTATTGAGATTGGGTACAAACCCATTTATGTCCCCTGAAGTGTAAGTAGTAAAGTAGTCACACACTTAACTAAGTCTCTGTGTTAAAGAAATAAGGAAAAAAGAACTGAAAAAGGAAAAGCCATCTTCACAGAGAGTATCACTGCATTGTTAAATGCAGGGACTAGAAATTATGTTAGGTACCAACCCCATCCCAAAGACTTGCTAACTCTGGGCAAGTTAATTAACTTCTCTAAACTTGACCTTCATCTTCAGTAAATTGAGATCATAATAATAATTATTGTAAAGCTCAAATCAGATGATTCTAGAAGGGTTTCACAACACAGGGTACTTAAATTCTAGCTGTTGTACTATTCTGTTATTGCTATTGGTGTGGTCATTAGACAGAATCATGGTACCACCCCTGTCCTGGGTGGAGGTGTTTCTCAATTGCCCAGTAAGGAACACCAGGAAGCCTTTCATTTGCAGGCTCCCTGGGCTCATTTCCTCGAGCTCTTCATCTGAGATTTATTGTGGTCTCTGCAGACTCATTTTTTTGTTGTTGTTTTAGCTTCTTATTCAGAAATAATTTTAACCTTATAAAAGATTGCAAAAATAAATTACAAGGTTTTATAAACAGTTGTGAAAAATACAGTCTTATACTCAGATTTACCAGTTATGGGTTGAGCATCTCTAATCTGAAAATCCAAAGTTTTCTAAAATCTGAAACTTTTTAAACACCAACATGATGTCATAGTGGAAAATTCCACAGCTGTCTTCATGTGATGGGTGACAGTCAAAATGCAATGTGCTAAAAATATTGTTTAAAATTACCTTTAGACAATGTGTGTACAATGTATCTGAAGCACAAGTGAATTTCATGTTTAGAACAGGGTCCCATTTGAGAGATATTTCATTATAGATATGCAGATATTCCAAAATCCAATACTATCTGAAATTCAAACCACTTCTGGTCCCAAACATTTTGGTTAAGGGATACTCAACCTGTATGAACATTTACTGTATTTTATTTTCTCTCTTTCTCTCTCTCTTACACACACACACACACACACACACACACACACACACACGCACACACACACACACACATCCCTTTTTTTTGTGGTACTGGGGTTTGAACTTGGGGCCTATACCTTGAGCCACTCTGCCAGCCCTTTTTTTGTGATAGGGTTTTTTTTCTTTTTTTTTGAGATAGGGTCCCCCAAACTATTTTTTTTATTATTCATATGTGCATACAAGGCTTGGGTCATTTCTCCCCCCTGCCCCCACCCCCTCCCTTACCACCCACTCTGCTCCCTCCCTCTCACCCCCTAACCCCTCAATACCCAGCAGAAACTATTTTGCCCTTATTTCTAATTTTGTTGTAGAGAGAGTATAAGCAATAATAGGAAGGAACAAGGGTTTTTGCTGGTTGAGATAAGGATAGCTATACAGGGAGTTGACTCACATTGATTTCCTGTGCGTGTGTGTTACCTTCTAGGTTAATTCTTTTTGATCTTACCTTTTCTCTAGTTCCTGGTCCCCTTTTCCTATTGGCCTCAGTTGCTTTTAAGGTATCTGCTTTAGTTTTTCTGCGTTAAGGGCAACAAATGCTAACTAATTTTTTAGGTGTCTTACCTATCCTCACCCCTCCCTTGTATGCTAAAGCTTTTATCATGTGCTCAAAGTCCAATCCCCTTGTTGTGTTTGCCCTTGATCTAATGTCCACATATGAGGGAGAACATACGATTTTTGGTCTTTTGGGCCAGGCTAACCTCACTCAGAATGATGTTCTCCAGTTCCATCCATTTACCAGCGAATGATAACATTTCGTTCTTCTTCATGGCTGCATAAAATTCCATTGTGTATAGATACCACATTTTCTTAATCCATTCGTCAGTGGTGGGGCATCTTGGCTGTTTCCATAACTTGGCTATTGTGAATAGTGCCGCAATAAACATGGGTGTGCAGGTGCCTCTGGAGTAACCTGTGTCACAGTCTTTTGGGTATATCCCCAAGAGTGGTATTGCTGGATCAAATGGTAGATCAATGTCTAGCTTTTTAAGTAGCCTCCAAATTTTTTTCCAGAGTTGTTGTACTAGTCTACATTCCCACCAACAGTGTAAGAGGGTTCGTTTTTCCACGCATCCTCGCCAACACCTGTTGTTGGTGGTGTTGCTAATGATGGCTATTCTAACAGGGGTGAGGTGGAATCTTAGTGTGGTTTTAATTTGCATTTCCTTTATTGCTAGAGATGGTGAGCATTTTTTCATGTGCTTTTTGGCCATTTGAATTTCTTCTTTTGAGAAAGTTCTATTTAGTTCACTTGCCCATTTCTTTACTGGTTCATTAGTTTTGGGAGAATTTAGTTTTTTAAGTTCCCTATATATTCTGGTTATCAGTCTTTGTCTGATGTATAGCTGGCAAATATTTTCTCCCACTCTGTGGGTGGTCTCTTCAGTTTAGAGACCATTTATTTTGTTGAGCAGAAGCTTTTTAGTTTTATGAAGTCCCATTTATCTATGCTATCTCTTAGTTGCTGTGCTGCTGGGGTTTCGTTGAGAAAGTTCTTACCTATACCTACTAACTCCAGAGTATTTCCTACTCTTTCCTGTATCAACTTTAGAGTTTGTGGTCTGATATTAAGATCCTTGATCCATTTTGAGTTAATCTTAGTATAGGGTGATATACATGGATCTAGTTTCAGTTTTTCGCAGACTGCTAACCAGTTTTCCCAGCAGTTTTTGTTGAAGAGGCTGCTATTTCTCCATCGTATATTTTTAGCTCCTTTGTCAAAGACAAGCCCCAAACTGTTTTTCAGGACTGGCTTCAAACCACAATCTTCCTGATCTCTGCCTCCTGAGTAGATAGTCTATTTATGAGCCAGTGGAGTCTGGCTCCCTATTTTTTAAGAATGGGGATTTTACATTACATAACTACATTTCAGTTATCAACTTCATAAACTTACATTAACCTATTTTCATCGAATCTACCTAGATTTATCAGCTGATCTAAGATACTCTTCAGAGCTTTGTTCCTTCCAGTGTGGGATCCAATCTAGTGACGGGAATTGCATTCAGTTGTCAGATATTTATTTTCACCTTACTTTAGAACATTTACAAAAACCTTTTTTATTTTATGACCTTGAAATTTAGAAGAAAATGGGCCTTGCCTTTTGAATGGACTGTCCTTCTTTTGGTGTTTATCTGACATCTCCTTATGACTAGGTTGAAGTTTTGTACTCTTACTTGCAATACTGCCCAGGGCATGGTATGTGCCCTTTCCAGGGTGTCACATTTGTGGACACACTATGTCCTATCTGTCTCTCATTGGTGATGTTTAGTTTGACCACCTGGTTAAGGTGTAGTCCCATTTCTCTACTGTATAATGACGGTTTTGTTTAGCTTATGGAACTAATGAGCAGTCTATGAAGACATACTTCAGGACCGTCTTAGTATCCTGCTGCAGACCTTTAGTAAAATAAATGACCACCTATGTACATTATTTCAGGAGTGCCAGAAACACACAAAAGTTGTAGGAAAAAGATAGCTCTATTCCATTTCTTACGTACAATTGGACAGTCATTGCAATAATTTTATCTCCTATTAAAATTCACATATTCCTGATGAACAACAACAACAAAAAGAGGCTTTGCTAGATGCCAGACCAAGTGCTTTGCGTTTTACAGCTGCGCTGCTCAGCTTTCAACAGGGTGTGTTCCCACTAAACCCATCATTAAGTCAAAAATGCATCAAATGCACCTAACCTACTGAGCGTCCTAGCTTAGTCTAGCCTACCGCAAACCTGCTCACAACACTTACATTAGCTTGCAGTTGGGAAAAATCATCTAACATAAACCCTATTTTATAATAAAATAGCAACTAGCTCATATAATTTATTGGATGCTATACTGAAAGTAAAAAGCCGAATGGTTAGATGTGTACACTTTTACACCAAAGTGAAGTTGAAAAGTCATAAATCAAACCATTGTAAGTCAGGACTGTCTGTATTTTCATTCCTTTAGTAAATACTCATTGTGTGTCTCTGAGGAAGCAGTTGGTGAAGACCACCAAGGTCTTACACTTGGCAGCTTTATTAGTGCAAGATAGGAGTTATGCTCTACTTACAGAGGCAGGGTATGAAGTTCAAGAAAGTCAGAGAACAGATTGGTCACTTAACGTGGTACATGACTACGCCCTGCTTTCCCACTGTGGTGTGTTGCCCCTCTGTGCCACGGACTAGTGGTAATGCTCAGGCTGGTCATGCTTACAAACCTAGTGAGGTCTGATTGTATCAAATCTTTTTTTAAAAGCTAGTCTTGGCAGAAAGAGAGAGGCCAAAATACGTACGTGAGCAATGCTCCCAGGAATGTGGATGGGTATGGAAGGATCAGGGAATGAATATATTCTACTTATAGACTGTGCCCAGTTCCCTTCCAGAAGAAGGGAAGGAAAGAGGTAGGAAGTAGATGTTAAGGAATGGGCTTTGGTCAGCAGAATTTCAGTGTCCTGCTCATCTATTGTATAGACCTGTAGTTATTAACTGATACAGTAACTGAGAATACTCCATCATGTAGGTAAAGTGTTTATTATCCTTCACTAAATGCACTTTCTTGTACTTAAGTATAGGGCAACTCCTCCAATATTCTTCCAGTGCTCACAAAGCTTTTGGGATTTTTCTGAAGTCTACCCATGCTTGCCACCATTACGTTACATTAGATGGAAAAGCCTAGTGACCTCTTAAAGGAGGAAATCTGACTTCCAAGCAATATGTCAATCATTCAGGCAGTGCGGTCACTCAGCTTCCCTGTAATGATGAATCCGTTCCATCTACCAGCTGTTAAAGCAGTGAATGTTGATCTACAGCTCTGAAAAAGACCCAGTACTCTGTGCCATGTGGGCCTCCAAGCAGGTCACTGCATACTTTCTCCAGCACGAATTTCCTGCTCTTGACCAAGCAGGTTATATTACTGTCCTGAACAAATGCACCAGGCAGTTAAGTATTAATGCTACTTAAACTGTCCTTGAGTTTTCACTCTTACGGAGTTGTGAAAAGGAATATACCTGGACAGACATGATGGTGCATACCTGTAATCCCAGCTCTTAGGAGGATCCAGAGTTTGAGGCCAGCCTGGGCTACATAGAGAGACCCTGTCTCAACAAAAACAAAAACAAAGGACACGCCTGCGTTCGGGATTGTAGGAGCACCAGGGAGACACAAAAACCTCCCTGGATTCCATTTCCACTCGTCTTACAATGTCGTATGAAGTCTCTTTTTCTGCTTTGGTTGAATGAGGACTCATGTTTGGTGTAAGGAATGCTGACTCTTTGTCTACCATCTCGGGGCAGTTCTCTGACTTTGACATACAATGTCTCCATGATCGTGAAAGGAAACAATAGCTGACTTTGGTACATAAAGTAAGAAGAAGAAGGTAAAGAAAAGAAACTAGTAAGTTCTGGAAGCCAGGGGCCATGCTTCTGCAGAATGTGACCCTCATTTATGACTTGGTTATTTTTATGTTCTCTCTTCCACATCATCCAGAAAGAAGGTAGCATAGTGTGCTTGGCTTTGCCAGCATCTATTGAGTACCTGAGCTGGGTTCAGCTCTCTTTGATATAGAGGGCTAGAATGTGAAGGATTTGATATGGTCTTCATTTTTAAGGAGTTTTAAAATTGTAGTTTATAAATGGAAAAAAATTTAGAGAATAATAGGAGATGATCTGCCATCTTGAGTCTGTTTTCTGTACTCTGGGAGACTGGAAAGGAATAGAGAGTTTAAGGAGAGGGAGTATACTTAAATTTTTAAGCTGGCTTGGATTTTGACTTGCAGTCAGGAGACTGCTGTGTGGGGTAGAACTAGCACAATGTGTGAATCAGGCAGAGCCGGGAGGCCAAGATCATGGAGCACTTTGCAATTGATAATTTGTCACTTTATGTGCCTTAAACATACTTTCAAAGATGGTCTACATCATTTGAATATCATTGGCATCCATTGAAGGAAAAATGCAAATTGCCTGCTCATTCGATAAATCATACCTAATGGGGGAGGTTATTGAGGGGAAAATAGAAAAAAGTAGAGGAAGGAGTTGCTTGTAGGATGAATTAAAACAGATGCTCCTTGTTCACAATTTTCACAAACCTCTAATTGGATAGGGACACAAATAACATTTTACTCTAAAAATATGTTTTCCCTTGGATTTGTGTCAAAGTTGGGAATATTTTCAGTAGCATTTTTCAACAATGATTAGAATGCACATCTAAAAATTATATTAAGTGGTGGTGTCTGTGAAGATGCTTATACTAGCAGTCACCAGATCTTTTATTAGGGCAAGCCCATGGGGTTCTTGATCACCATAGAAAGAAAGCAGGTCTGAAATAAGCTAGAGTGTGCCCTTGGGGGACCCTTGTCTCTGTGTGGCCCTTTCGGACCGGTTTTCTAGGAACAGCCATTGTTCCTCACCTTCTGGAACATCTGTCCACATGAACTCAGACAGCCCGTACATAATAATGACTTCCAAAGGTATAGCTCATGTTCCCAATCCCTTCCCTTCTTTGTAGGATTCAAATTCTATCTCCATTTCCTATAGTTTGACATTCTCTACGTGACTAAGCTGAAACTCTCAACTTCCTCTTGAACTGTTTCTGTGTGCTCAGTGGTATTCAGTGATACCACCACCTACCCAGTGATTTCTGCTGGAAACGATGGCCAACCATAAATCCTTCACAGTTTGCATAGTTTTTTTCTTATCTAGTGATGACCAAAGAAAACTGATTTTGAACTGACCACATGAGATTTGCCCAGGTAATCTGGGGTCCAGGCAATTTAAGGCTCCCAATGTGATTCTGCATATTTTGGGAAGATGTCCTTGCACCATTCTTGAAAACTCATAATTAAAATGGGTATGGGAATCAATAGGCAAGTTGGTAACCTACCTCATGGGTCCTTGGGAGTGAACTTTTTATGCTGGGAAAAGCCTTATCTTAATTTGTGTATGATACTTCAGATGTATTTTTCTGTCATATAGCTGCATATTTTTAGAAAATGAAGTATAATCTACTTAGCTGCTTAACACAATAATGAATTCAAAGTGTATTCAATTGTGTGCTTCTTGGCTAGGGATATGATGGGAATTAAGGAAGACACAAATGTGGCCTCATCTTTTTCAGTCTACCATACCATGTATTTTTCTCTTCCTTAAGGTACAAAATGATCTTACATTTCAGAGTAATGGGAGCCAGTATTCTCCAAACGAGGTAAGTTTTCTGAAGATTAACGGAAGGTAAGGACTTCCATGAAGACTGAATTGGAACATCTGTTATAGAAATAGATAATATAATGCTGTGATTAATGAGTTAGTGGGAGAGTCCCTGGGGATTCTCCTTAGTTGCCACTCACTGTCATTCTCTGACCCTGTTCATAACTACATCAGTTTTGTAAGAAGTATGCTTTAAAAATGAGACATCTTTATAGAAAACAGAATGAAACTCACTCAGACAGACAACGTTTAGAAAGTCATCATGAGGTTTATCTGTAGATGTGCAGAGACATCTGCTCGGGGTTAACAGTGTTATCACAGTCCTTGCTTGATGTGCCCTCTTTGGGATGTGTGTGCACACACAAACAGACACACAACTATGCTGAAGGAGAAATGGAGTTCCGGCTTCATGTGATGTACAATGTATTTATGATGAGCAAATAAAAAATGAGTGAGTAACCCTGCAACGTTCTGATGATTACTACACCTAAAGAGTTTGCACAGTAATGTTTTAGCCAGGACTTCATCACATAGCAGCAAGTACAATCAGGAAGTAGTTTTATGATAATCCTTGACCACAGAGAAGCATCCATACTTTCTTCAGTTTTTTTCCCTAATATTCTTTCCTTCTAACCTGACAGATAAGAGAGAATTCCCCTGCTATCTCTCCTACCACAAACTGCCCAGCTCCATTTGGCCTGAAGCCTCGATCAGGTATGCTAAAACCTCAGTCCATCCTCACACTAAATAACACAGTGGTTTCTCATTATGCTTTTAAACATATATATATATGATTAACGTGACCATTGTGGATTCTGCAGGTTGCAATCCTGTCATCAGATCTGTGCTATACCTTGGGGAAGTCTGAGATTTTTGGAAACCAGCTGTTCAGTTCATGCAAGCCATAATGGATGGCTTTCCTTCTTTGAATCAGAGAAAGGAAAAGCAGTAATAGGAGCTAGTAAAAGGGGAAGAAATAGTGAACTTTCTTACCCAAGGAAGATAAAATAGCTCCCCTTTACACCAGTAAGTTAAAGAGCAGCTGGGGAGAGGGACTTCTTCCTGAGACATTCCCAGTTGATTTCTGAGCATGGTAGGCTCTATGTATTTCCTCATGTAACAAGTCATCATTTGTAGGCTTACCTGAGTGGTCAGGAGTAATAAAAAAAATACATTTGGGCAAGCACTACTTTTTGATCTACTAGATTTTCATTTGTTATATTCATCAAACTAAATTATAACAATATACAAAATAACTATTGATTTTAAAAAGGACTCTGAGTAGGAAAATGTGTTTCTTCTTCTTTCTCCAGTTATTTATAGTTTTAGTGCTATTTGCCTTCTTTTAGGATCTTTGTTGTACTATTTTTATTTCTTTGGTGTGTTCACCACTGATGTGAATTTTAAGCACAGACACTTAGAAGCAAAAGTTGGTAAAGAACTCAGATGTTCTCAGGTTTTCCAGAAAAGAATTTTGAAAACAGTAGAAGTTATACATGTGTCTGGTTTGAAAAATGGTATCCATGGGAAAAGCAAAGATGATTCATTAATAAAGGAAATGTTTTTGTTCTTGGAGCAAGTTGATTGATGGGCAGTATGTGGCCAGGTGAAATGGTTTCCTGGCAGTGTCAATGGGCTGTTAGAGAAAATCCACTTGAGAAAATGCCTCTTGTGTTACACAGATTTGTGTGTGATTTGCTTTTGCGTTTGGTTTTTTTTTGTGGTGCTGGGGATGGAATGCAGGCCCTCGCACATGCTATGCAAGCTCTCTACCACTATATGCCCAACCCTAGTGGATGCGTTAGAGAGAGTAAAACTGTACCTTAAATAAGACTGAAATGCTGGCCTTATATATGAAACTTAAGTGTACATGACCAGATATGGACCAGGCTTCCACTAGCATGATTTGAGGTATGTCCTGCAGGAATGGAGGTGAGTCCAGGGTTATGTCCTCTGTGCCTTCAGTGAGGACCACAGGAAACTTTTCTCTACACACTGAGGACCTCAGTATGAGCCACAAACTTCTCTTACTCCTTCTAGGCAATTCTACAGTTTTTAAATATTTCATAATTGAGCAAATGCAAAGTTGAATGGGTCTCGAAGAATAAGATTATTGTCTTTTGAATGTGTGGTCTTGCAGTTCAAGTATAGAATTGTTCTGTTGACTTCTAAACTCCTTTTGTAGCGTCTAACCTCGACTTACCAAAGTTAGCGATAACATTGTACTTGTCCTGTAATGCATTTCATATTCTTTGTAGTGACAAGAAATAAATGGAGAGCTTATTTTGGAGAGCAGAAAACAAAGATCATTTCCTCTCCAAGTTTCCATCTTGGATTGCTTGATGAGCCAGTGTGGAAACTATTGTAGTTGCTGAAAGTTCTGTAGAATTTAGAAAATAATATTAAATGTCAAGGACTCTCATGTGACATATTGGAACTTTATAAAACTAGCATTATGTATTGGGGCTTTAATTTTTATTTAGTAATTTTTTAAATGTTGCAGTATGTAGTTTTCATATTTTAATAAAATAGTATGTGTGGCAAATTTAATTGGAAATCATGTGATTAAAAAGATAGAAACCATTTTTGATTGAGTAGCTTTGGAATTCTTGAAGCCAATTAATTTTTATTTGTTTTGTTTCTTGTGCTGGGGATCAAATCCAGGGCTGTGCTCATGCTAGGCAAAGCACTCTACCATTGAGCTACGTCCCCCAGCCCTAATTTTTATTTTTAATATATGAGTCTATGTAAGTTCTGTGTTATGAATAAAAACAAGTGGGAATAAAAAATTTACTTTCTTAAAATAGACCAACTGTTTTCTTCAAAAGTATTATTTTTCTCCTCTGTGTTTTCCTCCCAAAGAAAGAGAGAGCATGTATCCAAATATTTATTCCTAGGCCCATTAATTTTGCTGGACCTGCCTTATGTCCAGCAATTAAATTAGGTAGATTAATAAATTAAACTTAGATAGATACTTCCTAGATAAAAGTATCCTAAATAAATTTGAAATTTCTAATAGATATTAAGTACAAAGATAAGACATGTTATCTAATTTCATAAATGACCAACTCGGATGCTTTAGAGATTGGCATCTATCTACTGGTTAGTTGGTTTTATTGTTAAATAGACTTGGCTGGATATTCAAATTTGGTTTGTGGTTTACTGATCAGCATTGAAAACTGGATTGAGAAGCGTATCAAGGTTGAGGAAGAATTAGGGTGATTCATCTCTTATTAAAGCATGAAACTTGCAGGTGTCTTTAAAAAGGAATTCTACTTTGCCCTGGAAAAGATGTATTAATTGTCAGTAATGCTTCTATAGTAGTTTTATTTCTAAACAATAGATGTATTGCTAGCCTGTTAAGCTTCATCCTATGTGACCAAATTTTTGTGTAAATTGTGTAATTGTATTCGCTAAGATGGTGAGTTGTTTAGAAAGTATTTCAGAAAGGTATCAGGGAAGTCTTTTGCTTTTTAATCTGGATAACCTGTGGGTATCCTTTCTTCCCACTGACACGACCGTTAGTACTCTAAGTCTGCAGGCTTGCGGAACTGTAAAGATAAACAATATTAACTGCATGCAGAGTACATGACTGATGAGTACTAACACTCAGTTTTTGTCATTCTTTTTATTCCATGCGCCATCTGTCATTCTCCTCCTATATTGCACATTTGAAATTAAATCCCATGTAAATGAATCACTCCATTTCCATACAAACCTTTTGCCATTTGTGAAATGCTGCGGCCCCTTTCGTTTTCCCTGGTCCTTGTGCAACTGTACGTGGCCTGGCTCTCTCGCTCTCCTGCAGACCCAGCCCTCATTCTCCCTCCTATCTCCTTCAACAAACTTACACAGGCACAAACATGGGACAACTCTAGCTACAGTGTTCCATCTGCAGGAGACAGTGACAATGGTAGGTGGCTTTGTACCTCTTCTTCATTGTTCTTTTTAATAAGCCAGTGATATACCAAGCATTCTTTTGTGTGTGCAGAGGATAGAGTGCATTCACCTGCATGTTTGTACTGTGCAAGCCTGAAAGGGACTCCAGAAGAATGCATGGGAATTGCTCTAAGAGCTGTCATACCACAGTTTAATTGGGTTAAGTGTTCAGAATTTGGGGAGAATTTTGCAGCTTTCTTCTCTGCCTGTTTCTCCTTGGATTTAAAAAAATATTTTTACTTGTTTGGGGTTTGCACTTTTGGATTCTCTGCTTGCTCTATAAACCTGTATTAATGCTTTAAGAGTCTGACATTTTATTATCTATGCTTACCACATGAGATTTTTAAGGTAATTAAAAGATACCTTGACTGATCCTAGAATGTTGCACTGAAAATAATGTTAGCATTGAAAACTTTCTAAAAATGAAATCACTTACCTTCCTTTTTTCACATTATTTGCACATTTTGACTTTTGATAACTTAATATCAGTTCATCTATATTATATCCAAGAAAGTATGAAAATCATATGTATAAATTTAAAAAATGAGGATATCCAGTTAGATTAATGTGAATATCTTAATTTTGTGCCATGAGCTATCTTAAATAGTTCAAGAGAGGAAAGCCAAATAAATAAAATTATTTAGATCTACATACCACATGTAGCTGAGTTTCTGTTGTAGTCTAATGCTAGTTCAAATCTTAAACATTTTACTCAGAAATACAGAGTGATAGAAGTAATGTTGATTGACATGGAATGTAATCAGTGAAGAAGCAAGCAAGACATGAGACATAACCATGATGCAAACACAATAGAAAGATAGATTTCCTAATGCTACTTTTTAACATCTAAGTGTGTTACATGTAATACTTAGAAAATATGTATTAAAATGCTTGCTTTTAACTCTGGTTAAAAGTTAACCAAAAATGCTTTTGCCATTTCCTTATGTAGACGGATCATGTATACTCTGGCAAATCAGTTATAAAGGGAATATTACTGTTTCAAAGATGGCGAATGTTTTTAACTGAAAATAAGAGTAATCAAAAAAACAACAATCATGAAATAAAAGTCCCTCCTCATATCACTCTGTTTTAAATTCCAGAAGTTGAAGAGAGCTAAATGGAAGCTTTCTTGGTAAACTGCTCCTTTATTTAAAAATAAAAATATAAACAAAAATGAAGGAAGGAATTTTTGTTTTTCAGAAAGCATGACTATTTATGGGTGTGATCTTGTTTAAAGGAAATAAAGCCTTGTATAAAAGATTTATGTGTGATTTGGTATTTCCTTAGAAATGATATCTGAAACCAGCTTTTTTTAAAGCTGGGAAAGATTTAGACATCTTATGTAGCAGTAGAATTTCTGTCCTAAAACCAGAGAGGTGAGGTGGGTCTCACTCTTAGGTAGGGGAAAGGTGGGACTACACCCAGGGCTCCTAACTCCTGAGCTTCTCCTCTCAGACAAATTCGTATGCATTGTCAGATGTTTATTGAGGATCTTGTTTGCTAGGCTGCCTTCTTTTTCTTAAAAATGCTGAGGTCTCCACAGCAGACAATCGTTGTGAAAAATCTTTCTAAAAATAAAATAACTTTGCATTCATTACTTGCTGTTTTTCTATGAGTGAACATTCTAGGAATTCATGTGTACCTCTTACACAGTAGAACAGTAATCATAAAAGAATCGTTTTTAGTCTTCATCTGGCTAGGTCAATCATATCAGATGTTCGATAGTTGTCATTTTTTGCTGTTTGCAAATTGTCTCTAATATGCCCTGGGCAGGAGAGAATTTTCCATGCACAAATATTCTTTGCAGGCTTCCAGATCTGATCTTCCATGCACACTGTCATTCTCTTTGTGCTAAACTTTGCCTTGTGATTTGGATGGATTTCCTAATGCAGTTTTGAAATTAAAGGAGGTGCATTGCACGGTGCCCAGTCGATCAGCAAATGTGGCGTGAGAAATGCAGCCTAGTTTTTAAGTTATCCTAAATGCTTCCTTCTAAGAATGTTCTACTCATCTGGCTCTCTTGGCATTTCAAAGCAGATTACCACATTGGTGTGGTTTTCTCTTATTTTCCTCACTACTCCATATCTGTGTCTGTCTCAATCTTTGTAATGAAGTGGAATCTTATTACCAGCTCAACCTAATATAATGTAACTTTAAGTTATTAAATTTTGGCAAACTTGGACTTCTTGTTTCTTGCTCACTGCTTTATTTTAATAAAAAAGTTGCTCATTTATTTAAATTTTTTCCAATATTTCATTCCAAATCTATTCATCTTAATTTCAGCATTGTCTCTATAAAGTGTTTTTCAAAGAAAGTTTAAAGTGGCCCACAGGCTAGAAGATCTATCTCCTGGGAGGGAGAAAAGACAGGGTAGAGGTTCATCTGTAGGTCTGTCTGCCTCTGGCATTGGCTGACGCGGCTTTATCTCTGATCTTCACCTAAAAACTTACTTTCTGCTCCTTACCTTGCTCTCGTGCCCCTCATGACTCGATCTTTCCTTTTCCCTTCACTTTGAAGCTTAAAAACCCTTCTGATCTTTTGAATCTTTTGGTTTGTTTAAAATCAGTCTTCATGTAGGAATGAGCACGTGGATGGACCTGTCCTGGATCAGCTTGCAAATGCTTTCTTTAATTTTTTATTGTATTAATCTTGCACCAAGATCTTATTCTACCCATTACAAAAATGAAGAAACTGAGGCCATGAGAGGCTTTTCTGTGGACCTCAGCTCTGGTTTTGCACGGGAATTGCCTGGGCCCCTGGTCCCAGACTCAGAGATGCTAATTTATTTGGTCTAAGCACTGATTTTTTTAAACTGCTTTTTATGTGATATGTGGCTCTAGTAGGCTTTAAGGAACTAAATAAATGAGCTCATCAGATTTCCACCTCACATTAACCTGGATCTAAAGCTCGTGATATTTTATCAGAGCCATGTATCACTGCCCTTGATTTTTTTTGCTATTTTTCAGTGCTGAATATTGAACCCAGGACCTCATGGATGTTAGCTAGGCAAGTGTTCTGCCACTGAACTATAGCTCCGGCAAATTTGTGTATCTTAAACAGTACTCTAGTCCAAGTTCTGAACTTCAAGAAGGTGTGAACTAAATTTCAAAACCTCATGTTTCAGGATGGAGGTGTGGCTCAGTGGTAGAGTACCTGTCTAGCAAGCATGAGGTCTGAGTTCAAATCCCAGTACCACCAAAAACCAAACAAAAACCCTCATGCTTCCATAGAAGAGAAACTTCCTCTCACTGGGATAAGGTTAGGTAATAAGGGATAATAATGTAGACAGATAATGGTGCATTTCATGTACTAATTTTATGTAATAATTAAATGATAGACTGCATTTCAGGCAAATTTTAGAGCAGTGGACTTGCTTTCTTTACTTATCTGAAAGATGTTCTCAGGACAATTACAGAAATGTTTCTCATGAGCATTCTTAGATCTATAATGTAGTGCCTATGACGTTCTAGGCATGACTCCCATGAAAAAGACAGGCATAGTCTCTGTGCTCATGGAACTTTTATTTTAGAGTCTGACACATTCAAGCCTGGAAAATAAGTTTCGAAGATTTTTCAGGGGAGAAAAAAATTTGATGACTGATTATTTGGACAAGGTAATTTCTACCAAGATGTTCTTCAATACACTGATCTTGCCATGAGTTTTTGAAGCGCTCATTTCATGTATTCATTCAGCAAACTTACGCTGTCCTGCTTACTACCTTGTGGGACACATAGAGGGTACAAACTGAAGAGAAACACAATCTCATACAGAATCCTAGAGAGAAATGTAGTCATAAATTTATGCTGTAATACAGAAAGGGGTAAGTGCTGTGAGAGAGACAGATAAAGAATTTTGTATACTCATGGGATATGGAGTTGACTCCCAGCTCAGGGATGAGGATGGAGAGAGAGTGAAGGAGAGCCTAGAGATAATGGAAAATTCAGCAGAATTCAGCTGCAGAGATGAATTGATATTCTGCTTCAGTAGAGCCATCTATTCCCTGCTGGGCTGTGCTTAGAGATTTGTCTCTTCTGCTAAATAAATTGCATACAAGAGCAAATCTTACTATCCATGTTTTAAATGCTACTGATTTGATACATAATAAATAAACAGTTAAGAAGGGCTTTTTTCCTGCATCTTTAATTATCTGCCCCCTTTCTTCCTGTTTGTGCATGCCCCCCACCACATACTCACTCACTCAGCTCTTTCCCCTTCTTTTTTCTTATTTACATTTGAACAGTGTCCATTTGATTTGAAAAGCACATCCTACCAATGGGGCTAGTTTTAAATATGGTCTTATAGCCTCAAGTTGAACTTTCGTGTGTATGTGTGTGTGTGTGTGGCACTAGGGTTTGAACTCAGGGTTTTGTACTTGCAAAGCAGGCTCTCTGCTGCTTCAGCCACACCTCTAGTCCATTTGCTCTGGTTATTTTGGAGATGGGGTCTTGTAAACTGCCTGGACTGACCTCAAACCATGATCCTCCTGATCTCAGTCTCTAGCCACCAGCGCCTGGCATCAAGTTAAACTTTTATTGCCCTGAATTAAGTGAAGAAGTTTTTGAAATGCAGTGATATGGAATTGACAAAATCTGACTAATTCCTGAAGTCTTGGCCCAGACAGAAATAAGTGTAGATTTATTATGAGCTGGAAGAATTTGTTTTAAATCTTCATTTATTATTATTTTATCCTATAATAATTAATACATTTAGAAAACTGGTATGAATGTAGCCATGATTTCCAGTAATTGTATGTGCATTTGGAGTGTTAAACTACAGCTCAAATAAATTTTTAACACTTTTTGATTGCTTAATATTCATAAAGCAAATGCTCCACTGTGCATGTTGTGTTTTTAGAATGCACAGGAATTTAAAACGAAAAGCAGTGACAGGAAATTAAAACCCAGACACCATTCCATTGTCCTAATAGCCCTCATAGAGCTCCAATAAGGCATAGATGCTTGAATTTAGTGCTGTTAAATCAAAGCTTGTGGTTCATTTAACTTCCTGATAGTTCCATATTCAGGATGAAATCTGCCAGTAAAAACATATTGAAAATATTAAACATGCTGTATTAGATAAGATTACCCCAGAAAAAAAGGCAAAGGAAAACAAAACAATACTTTTATTTAGATGGTATTGAGGCTCCCCCTGGTGGCATATATGTGTATTTCCTAGCTCTATCCACATTCCTTGACTTTTTTTGGTAACCATGGTTGACTTTTTTAGGAGGTGTGGATTATTTCTATATTTTACATTTTAATACATTTCTCCTCCAATTACTATGCTTCAATCAGTAGATTTTTTTTTGTTTTTCTTTGGATAGTATAAACCAAGTGTAATTCATTCTCCAAGTTTCTTCCATGGTTCTTAATTTGTCAGACTTTCCCCTCACTTCCCTTTGCTCTGTGAACTTTTCGTCTCTCCTTGCCTGGCCACTCTGTCCTTCTGTTGCTGAACTTGGCTTTATTTTTAAACAATTGTTCTCACTGCCTGTGGGCTTTGGCTTTTGTGGGCCTTCAGGAGATCCTTTCTGTGACATGCCTTTGGCTTTTTTGCCTGCGACTTCCCTGGCTGACTTCCAGCAAAGGCTCAGGCCACAGACTGACTCCTCTCTGAAGTTCCAGAAGGCACGGTAGACCATCCTCTTTATCTATTAACTATGAGTCAAGGATTGAATCAACTTTCTAATATTCCCTAGACCTTAGAATGTGATTCAGATATCTTCAAACTCACTTAGAAATAAAATGTAAGGGGACAAATTGAGATTAAATTGATTTAGTTAGGCAAGCACAGGATATTTAATTAGACAGAGTGGATGCAAGGCTTTCATTCCAAGTATTGTATTTGTAACCCACATTTAATTTTTTAAAAATCAAACCTTGAAATAGTTTCTAAAGTGCCCCATAGGAAATGTTGTCAGGATAAAGTAAAAGTCACAAAATCTTCATGTTTGACATGGTTTAAATTATAGAGATTGGAACTACTTCAATTGCTTCTTAGTTCACACCACCAAGAATAATGTAAAATATAATTTCCTCCAGAATATTTGAGTTCAGCTTGCCCTGTGAACTCAGAATTTCTTTGTTTCTGTGTGTCGTAAATAAATTATTTAGGATGAATAAAGAAATTGCTTAATGTAAGCATGAATATCCCTGTATGGCAACCTGTGCAAGGCAATACGTAAAGGCTTTTCTCTCTTTCTGTTGTAGTGTTTCTAAGACCACAGAGAAATTTGGAATCTATAGACCCACAGTTTACAATTCGGAGGAAAATGGAACAGATGAGAGAAGAAAAAGAGCTGGTGGAGCAACTCCGTGAGGTACTCAGGAGACAGCATCCAAGTGAACAGTGATTTTCTGAATTGAAGCAGCGTTTTATATATATATATATATATATATATTTTAAATCCCTAGTTTCTAATCTAGCTAGGTGACTTACTGACTCTTTGACGTTGAGAAAATCACCTCACAACCCTGAGTTTCACTTTATCCATGGTCTAAATATTCTGATCTCCCTTTGCAGGGGTTTGTGAAGAATATATGAAATAGTGTAAGGAGAAATACTTAGTACATACACACACACACATGCACATATAAACAATAGCATTATCTGGTATGCTTTAAAATAATGCACTGTCATTTATTGGCTTAGTAATAAAATTCCATTAATTTAAACGTAGGAAAGTTACCCTCACTTTGTACCTGGTCAGAGCTTTTAAATTAATCATTCAATAGACAGACCATTTGAATTCCTGCTAAAGATGAAGTCTTGCCCTCGGCTCCATCAAAGATTTTCAGCTTGGTAATGGCAGGGTCTGGGCTGTCTGTAGTTTTTAGTTCCCGTTGGGCACCCTGGAGGCGTTTGTGTATCTCTGGTCTCTGTCTAGATAGGAGGACTGTGTATGAATATGTGGAAGTTCAAATAACAGTTCCAGATCTGTCACCAAGGGAGGAGACACAGAATCAGGTATTAAAGGAAGCACAGTATGAGCTGTTTCAAAGTCCATTCACATTCACAGAGAAGCAACATAGCTGTGCCCTGGAAGAGCGTAAGAAAGCGACTGGGATCTTTGTCTAACAAATGTTTTTTGACCACCACTATGCTAGGTGGTGACATATCCATCTGGGTGATGGATATAGGAAGGAGAAGAAGGGTCCCTGCTGTTAGGAATCCTATAGTCTATTGGGAAGAAATAGTAAGTAAGAAGGGAGCAAATAAATACACAGTTTCAAATAGTAATGAATTCTACAAAGAAGCAATGAATCCTACAAATTAACTTAACTTAAGTTAAATTAAGGCAAGTTGGTTGTTGTAGATGACACTTCATGATGTATAGCAAGTCATCTGGAAGAAAGGATTTTTGAAAAAATAAACTCTTACCCCACTTTCAGTCACTGTTGTTGATTAAACAAGAACTAAGGGAAAGTTAGACCTGTCATTTTCCCAGAATATTTGGATGTGCCGTAAACTTGGAAGGTAAACTTTCCAGGACACATGAAATTAAGACCAGAACTTAAGATATGCCTCTTAAAGAGTGATATAATTGTATGATAAACTTGGGTCATATTGATAATTTGTGTTTTAATTTAATGATACGAAATTAGAGCTGAAAAGAGTTTTGTTTTTGTTTTTTTTAATTTAGGTATCTATACACAGGATGGTTCTGAAAGAGATTTATGCAACCCTATTTGCCTATTTTTCATTCTGGACACAGATTTCTTTTTTTAAAGAAAAAGCCCCACTGAAGCTTCCTCTAGCCAGATAACCAAGAATGGTTAACGAATGGTCTAATAAGACAGAACATTTTTAGATAGTAAATGCTGGACTTCAGCCAAACACTGGAAAAAACAAACTGGTCCACCATGGCCATGTCAGCAAAAACTGTCAGGAAACCAGACTTGCCCTGCTCGGGTGGTGTCAGGGAAGCCAAGGCAGAAGCCAGAGGTTTCATCCCCAATACTAGTAAGGACTCCTGTCAGCTCCCACAGTGCCAGTGGAGGTCAATGTGGAGCCTGAATTCCCCCACCTACCTGCCCAGTCGTGAGAAGACTGGGCAGGTAGTCCACTTCACCCCCACACCCTGGCCAACTGAGACCAAGTGAAAAACCTACACTTCTACATTTATCTGGCAACATTCTACTGGATGGGACTCTCCCTTCCTGTACCAGTATCCAAAAAAAAAAAAAGCCAGCTAGAATGGAACTTTAAGTAAGATCCAGCATTGTATCACATAGTATGAAGAAAATGCAGGTTTCAATTGATGATCACTAATCACATTAAGGACCGGGAAGATCTCTAACCAAATGAAAAAGCAATTCATAGATGACAGCACTGATCTTGCACAAATGTTAGAATTATCTGACAAAGATCTTAAAGTAGCCATGATAGAAAAGCTTCACTGACCAATGATGAAAGTGTTTGCAGGAAAGAAAACCTGGCATCTTAACAAATAACTAGAAACTTGGGGGCCTGTGGAGGGTAACAATATACTAAAATCATGTCATGGAGTTCCAGAAGGAAAAGAGAAGGAGAATAGGACAGAAAATTGTTCTCGGTGGGAGTGAAGTGGATGTGGTTGTAAAAAAGCAGTGAGAGAGACCCTTAGGATGAAAAAGCTGTGCACCTGGACCTTGTCAGTGGCACTATTGTGGTTGTTTTAAGTTGTTACCGTTTGGGAAACTAGGCAACCAGTACATGGAATCTCTCTTTACTGTTTGCTACAAATGCGTATCAATCTAGAATTGGCTCAGAATTTAAAGTTTAATTTTTAAGAAAAGGCCAATCATTGATTTTGCAACTAAAACATTGTCTAAGAGAAAGCCTCCCTTAATCTCTTTTCCCCCATGCAGCCGTTTGAGCCTCTTGGTTCTCACTTATCAGTTCATTCTCTTTTTACATTTTTATAGCCAAGGCTGAGGAAACATTGAACTCAAGAAGTGATTCCATTATTCCTTTCATTCTAATTAAAATCTTGAAACACTACTGAATTTGTCTTCATACAGAGGGATTTTTTATATTGTTTGAAAAGATTTAAATAGCATCACTGTTATCTTGGTGTCCTTATCCTCACCCCTAAAATGACTTCAGTGCCTCAGTTCATATAATTGTCATTATATTTTACCCTTGGCTGTCTCGGTGTTGGTACCAACTGGCTTCCTTCTGATTCCCCCACAGAGCATCGAGATGAGGCTGAAGGTCACTCTTCATGAAGACTTGGGGGCAGCACTCATGGATGGTGTTGTGCTCTGCCACCTGGTCAATCACATCCGCCCACGGTCTGTGGCAAGCATCCATGTCCCCTCACCAGCTGTTGTAAGTAACAGCCTGTAAAGGAAAACTGACTTTGATGTAAAGCACAGTTTTTAGACGTTGTTGGTTAAGGGACCAGTGCGATCACTAGGACCCTCCTCAAGTCCTTTCTCTTGGGCCCTAAGGAACTAGAAGAAAGGAACAAAGGAAGAGGTCTGATTAAGCAATATTTTCACTAGAAAGAGGGAATAATTGTAAATATGTAAATGACAGCTATTTAACATCGATTTTAAAGAAATTACTGGTTGAGGTGCTAACTTCAGAGTATAGGAACCTAAAGATTCATTTCTCACATAGGATTATTTTAAGAAGTCTTTTCAGAAAGCTCCCTTTGGTTGGTGAGTTTCCTTCTAAATGGAATCTCTTCCTGCTCTTCCTCTTCTTACCTCTCCCTCTCCCTCTCCCTCACTTCTCTCCCCACCTCCACCACCACTTTCTCTGAACCATGTTTCACTAAGTAGTCCAGGATGGCCCTGAACTCACAATCTTCTGCCTCAGCCTTCTGAGTCCTGGGATTACACGTTCATCATTGGGAGATACTAGGACAGTCCTGTAGAGATGTGCAGTCTATGGAAAGTATCATTAATAACCTGTCAAGCCAGAGGTCAGTCAGCCAGTCACGAATTCAACAGCTGCTCTGTCACACTGTGCTCAGGGACACGCTGTAGAGAGTGGGGAAGGTGAGGACCAGTGGGACTCCATCAGTGCCCCCAAATCCTCACCTCCCCTGCAGGGAGACCCAGCCTGCACAAGGGATCCTTGTCCTATATTTTTTAAATTTTAAAAATAGGTATATGTATGTATGTGTGTGTGCGTTTCTGGAGATCAAACCCAGGGCCTCTCTGCTAAGCAAGTGCTCTCCCACTGTGCTAAACGCCAGCTCTAATCCTTGTGCTAGACATCACAAAGCACAGTCAGAGGAGGGGCAGTTTAATAGTCCTTCTAGTGAGAATGCAGGAATTAGGGATAAGCTTGTTGTCTTTGAAGCCCTTGTAGGGTTTGGTCAGGTAGAGAAGGGAGAATTTCCACTTGGGGGTTTTTGGTGTGCATTAAGGGGAAGTAGAAGAGTTTAGAGGCAAAGAATGTAAGTTAGGATTAAAATTACAGATCTGCTTCTTAAAGCCATAAGACTTTGGGCAAATCATATATTCATTCTGTCTCCAACTTGTCTTCCTCTTCTTTACAATGGACCCGTTGTTGTGAGGATGACATGAGGTGTTACATAGAACATACATGTAAATGTGAGCCATTACTGTCATTTGTGTTTATATAGAGTCTCAACATCAAGCTACAGTGTTCGTAAGATACCAGGTAATCTGTGTTGGATGGGAGTTTGTGTGATGCCCTCTTCCCCTACCGCTTCCCCTAGGAAGGCTCCACATAGGTCTGTTCATCTGACTTTCTTTTCTCTTAGCATCAGGAAATTAGCCGAAGATCACATTTCAGTGTTAGTTTCCTTTCTGTAATATTGAATGGGCTTTTTTCCTTTCAAAAGTTTGACCACTCTTTTGCTTCAAAAACACCAGGAAAATAAGACCAGTTTGGCTTCTCTTTCAAATCCTCCTCACAGCTTTCCTGTAGGACAGTGAGTTCTATCCTGTAATCCAGTGGGAAACTTTCCAGATTCTTTTAGAGATGGGGGTCCAGACTGCCTGAGCTGTGTGCCAAATTCTCACTTAATATTTCCTAAATGATACCAGAGACACTGTGGATTCCTCTCCAAATAGAACACACACTCATTTCACGTGTTAGAGGGAATTATGAATCATGAACCTTATGTGCTTTGTATATTTTATTAATTTTTCAGGAAAATACCACACTTTTAAAGAAATCTTATGGGTTTTCTTTTTTAATATTTTTTTAAATTAAAAAAATAATGGGGAATAGTGCCTGACTGGAGAAAATAAGGGAAAACAGAAAAGAAATAAATCACCTTTTATCATACCATCCAAAGACAACCACTGCTAACTTTTTCTCCTTTTTTCTTCCAATATTTTCCATACATTTGTTTTTAATTGTGAGCTTCTCACATGTACTATTCACTAGTAATTAAATTTTCTTATAAAACCCTAAATATTCCCCATATCAGTAAAATTCTTCCTAAACACCTATTTTAATAACTATAGCATACTTCAGCCTCTGTGGTTGTATTGTGTTCTGTTCAGAAGTGCAGTTAGCTTGTAAGTGTTCACAGCTGTTGTTGACAGCAAGCCTCACTGTAGCCACCTGTGCTGCCCCCAGCAGGGTGGGATGCACTCGCTCCCACTTCTCCTCTATCACAGTGTTTACAGCAGGCAAACCTTTCTGAACCCCTTAGAACTGGGTTTCCTTGGGTACATTTCTTCCCTTATGCCAACCCCATCACCACTAGGAACTGCCTAGATTACACTACAATCTCCTTGAACTTGTTGATATTTCCAGCTGCACCTGAGTGAGCTAAGTGGCCATGAGGTTTGTGCTTTGGGTTCCACAGTGTGTCTTTAGCACCAAGTATAATGGCTGGCACAGAGTAAGCAATAAATACAGTTGTGTCTTCACTGTCAGCCATAGACGACAGTGCCTTTGCTACCAGAATTACTGCTAGTATTAAGCATTCTAATTTTTCATGCATAAGACTATTGTTCATTTTTTATGCCAAGCTGAGGGCAAAGTGGTGGACAGAATCACTGTGATAGTCAGTATGCCAAGAGCCTATTCCTCAGAAAAGTGTCTTCAGTATTTGAGAATTTGATATGCAAACCATTGGAATCCCAATTGGTATAATTAGTGTAGTTTTTAATTCTTTGACCAATGGCAAGATTGCTCACCATTATGTTTGTCATAAGTACTTTTCTACCTGAAGCTAGACAACAGTCTTAGAAAGGCTTCCCTTATTTCCAAAGGTGGGAGTCAACTTTATGTAGCTTGAGATTTACTTTCCAGTGACTTCTTCTGGGGTGACCTAAGCATTTAGGGTGATGTGGGCATCGTTGGAGTTTCAGAACAGATCCTCCTAAGCCATATATGTAGATTAAAGAAGATAACAGGCCCAAAGGATCAGAACCACTCGATGGGGTGAAATGCTGCTTGGTGCCCCCCCCGCCTCATCTAGAACCTGTTCCTCAGTTGTCCCTGTGTACCTTCCTCAGGTCTGTTCCTCCTGTTTGCATGAAGCTTCATGTCGCCGTGCAGGGTGGGCAAAACCATCACAGAGGCTGCTCGCCATGTATTTAATGGCCCTTGCTGAAGGGCACTACTTCCTCTCTAGCCAAGATGGAGAGACTTCAGCCTCCAAACTAAGATGTTCCTCATGGCAGCAGGCCTTTTCTTTTTCATAAAACAGGGAAAGAAATCTTTTTACTTTTCTTTTTAAAATAAATGCTATGCAAATTTAGATTTTAATGATTGGTTTGTGCTCTTATAAGATGGAGTGAGAGTCACTCATTTCCCCTCTGTCACTTCCCTCACCAGTAACAGATTGCTATGCCTCGTAAATATAAACATAGCTGGACAGGGGTTATTGGGGTCAGTCTTGCTCCTTGTTTTTCTTTCTAAAGAAAATAAGAGTGCAATGTTAAAATTTAGTTGCAAAGTGTTTAAAAATTACCATGCAAAAATAATAGTGAAGAATCAAATTTGCTTCTTCCATCCGGCACCTTCAAGGTCATTTGTCATGAAGGTCATGGTAGTTATGAGAAGCTTTTTGTTAAGTCCTGAGCATCCACTATTTTTAATGCTGTTTACTTTGTTGTGTCTTTCTAATTAAATCTGTGCCTTTGGCAAGGGATGGGTAGTAATTAACTTGGTGAATGTAAACCCTTCATATAGATGTAGACTTATTGTTGGGGAAAGGTAATGTCTGTGGTGTAGTTTTAGATGAACTGAGTAGGCTTCACAACAGGATGATCCCATAAAAGCCGTGTGTATGTATGTCTGCACACATGTGTAGGTATATTTACACTTTCATATATGCATGCAGAAAGCTTTGGATACATATAACCAGTATATACACATTGTATACTTCTTAATCTAGATACCTGCATATATACATATGTATATGTTTATAGCTAACTGTTGGCACGCATACACTCATATACACATATAACGTTTGGAAGAATATGACCCAAAATATTAAATCTTTTATCTCTGATGAATGTTTCTTTGTAATTATTTATTTTAGTAATATATTACTTCTATATGTTTGCATTTATAGCCTAAGCTGAGCATGGCCAAATGCAGAAGAAATGTGGAAAACTTTTTGGAAGCATGCCGAAAACTAGGAGTACCAGAGGTAAAGTTAAACTTAGTTCAAATAACCACAATTCAGTAAATCTCTTTAATATATGTGTTTGAACCATTGAATCTCTGTTAAGCTTTGTGCATCTTTTTCACTCTCAACTTTTGTTAAGGAATTATCTTGAATGAGTTATACAAAATCTTAATTTAAATTGCTGTATTGCAGTGAAATCAAAATGGCTTTACACAGTATGTTCAATTCCAAGGAAAAGGGGAAAATGATTTCTTTAAGGTTTTGAAGTAAGTATAAACTTCCAAGCTTGAAAAAATTAATCAGCTAGATTAGAATAAGTAGATTGTCTAAGAACAGAAATGCCAGAGCTTCAGGTGAGCCTCCTGTTAGGCTCCACAGGGTAGAATCTTGGAGCTGGTGGTTTCCTACCCCAAGCTCTTATGCAGAGACCTTGAGTTGCTTTTCATTCTTGGTAGTTGGGTTTTAAGTGTGTGAATCAAAGTAACTGATACTGAAAATATTAGATTTCTTATTATTGTTAGCAATAGTAATAACAGTGTTGGCATGCTGCATTAGAGTTCGTTGAATTTTACATTTTCTTTTAGTCTGCTGTAGAAGCAATTTGCAATTCTCTGAACCTAGCCTAACCGTACAACTTATTACATTTTCCCTCTCCCAACCTCAGCCCCAGATTCGCAATTCTGAGCTTTTAAACACATTGCTGTTAGTAACAAAAATGATTTCACAGGGGGACATGAGCCAATCCACTCACAAAAATTGAGCCATATAAATTGAGAAGCTTCCCATCATCATGATAAACAGAAATAAATACAAATTATATTTCTTATGGCTTCTAGGTTTCTTAATGCCCCAGGGATAAAGCAACCTTTACAAAATCTAGTATGAGGTACTCTTTGACTATGTGAAGGAATTACATTTCACTATCATTGTACTCAGCCCACCAGTTGTTGAGATTGCCAGAGGGTTTTTCCCTCTCCCTTCCTTTGTGTTCCTTTCTTTCCTCCTCCTTTTTTTTTTTTTTAAACTTAGTGTGTGTGTGTTTGGGGTGGTGATTGGTGGGATTCTAATGTTTAAAGAAAGGAAAGCCTAACTAGAGGCTCCTTGATGCAGAGCTGTAACAATAAAAAGAAAGTGATGAGTTCTTTTTTGGGTCTAATTTTCTATAATGGTGTAAATGTCTTCGTGATCAATTCTCCTTTCAACAATATTAATCTGTGTGTCTGTATTACATGTATATATTTTAATATTGCATATACATTCTTGGCTTCAAATATATGTCGAAATGCATACTTGCTCTAATAATTTAATTCTGTCATGATCTAGTAAGATTTCTCATGTATGAATCAGAATTGTCATGCTAAGGTTCAGATGATAAATTATTTGAGTCTTGCTAGAAAAGCCCTGATGAGTTATGACCTAACCCTCCCCACCCCCCACCACACCAGGATTATTTTAAATTTATCACTGTTTTATGGCTTACAGTGATACAAAGTGGTGTGGAAATGCCCTTACCCATTTATAGTCAGTAAAGATTGGTAACTCCAATTTCCTTTTAAAGTGGTATAAAGGAAATTAAATTATCATAAAGTTGAAGAACAAAATTTATCGTAATTTCTGAATTCTGTCTGTCACATAGGGTCCCTACTCCCAATAGGCAACTCATAATTCCAAGAAAGTCAAAACAAAAAAAAGTGAATGACCTTTGTCAATGTCCCAATTAACTATGCTTAGACAGCAGGAAATCACTAAGAATATTTTTAAGGTTTTAAATGATTCGTGTGTGTGTGTGTGTGTGTGTGTGTGTGTGTGTGTGTGTGTGTGTGTGTGTGTGTATACATATATATTCATTCTTAGGGATGATCCAACAGCATTTTACTGGTGACCAGAGTTACTTTAAGGTCATAGCTACTAGAAAAAAAAGTTTAGGAAGGAATATGAAACACCAGAAATTCCCAATTGAAAGATAATTGGCAAAGCTTCCTGCTTCCTCAAAGCAGCATGTTTTTTCACCCCACAGAATGCACAAGGAAGTATTTCCATCCAGGAATGTGACACTAAGTTGGGGAGTCAGATGACCTTCTCCCTTTCCATGTGTGTGCTCCTTTTACTTCTAAATGGGGTCTGTGTTTGGAATGTGCACGTGGCCCCGTGCCACTGATGATTTATGCCAAAGATACAGTTGCATCGCGAGAGTACTCGTGGAAGTTCTCTATCTACAATTAGACATTTTAAAGGTCTGGTTCTAAAAATACAGGAACATCTAGCATGTTTTCCCATCTATTGCATCAAAGTAAATGTTTGGGAACCAAAATAGTCATTGATTTTCTATACTCAACAGAGTTAATTCTCTCTGATTTGTAAGCTTTTTCTACTTCACTCATGAATTACCTTCACACACACAAACCACAGAGATCTTGACTTCTGTCTTTTATAAGCTACATACTAATGATGAATTATTCTGTAAATACTAAAATTCACAGCTGTGATGTAAGCCTAAATTTGTTCCCTTTTTGAAACTTATTTTTGAAATTTTTTCCACTCTTTGAAACTACAAATCAAAGGCCAGCCTCCATTGCTCATGCCTATAATCTCAGCTACTTAGAAGGTAGAGATAGAAGGATTGAGTTCAAGGTGAACTGGGCAAAAAGTTAGTGAGCTCCTATCTCAATAAATAACCTCGGTGGAAGGCAGTAGGTAGGGAAATCATGATCTGAGGCTGGGCCAGGGCAAAAGCATGAGACCCTTTCTGAAAAATAACTAAAATAAAAAAGGGATGGATTGTGTGGCTCAAGTAATAAAGTGCCTGCTTAGCAACTGTGAGGCCCTGAGTTCAAACCCCAGTAACAACCCCTCCAACAAAACCTATAAACAAAGACAAGCAGTTTATATAATTTTATTGGGTGCATATAGATGAATACAAGATTTAGTTAAATGACTAACATCTTATGATGTTGTAGTGTGTTGTTTTTTCTTTAGAAGTCCCCAGATTATGTACCCCAGGGTTGGTCAGCATTCCTGAAATATTTTTGTATGATTCAGCTTCTGGAACCACAGAACCAGTCTGGGGTTTGTTGAGTATTCAGGACATATGTCCACACAGGATGTGGTAGGATGACCCTTAACGTCCCTGAGTAAATAGTAGAGTTAGTAAGTGAGACTATGGAATGGTAAGCTCACTTCTACAGCAGAGTGGGAAAGCGTGGTCTTGAATTGGCTTCTCTATAAACGTAGCTTCCCCAGTGGGCTACATTCAGAGTCAGAGGCAATGCAAGGCATCATCCATATCCCAGTTTATGCAGCTCTCTTTGACCTCTGAGCAAGCATCAGCTTGGTCTTGAGAATGGCTTCTAAATCCTTCAGGACAGATTCTTTGTCTCACTGAAGAATCTGACCCGACTTAGTCTTTGGGCTCAGGAGGCCATTTATGGAGACACCTTAGCTTCTTTTGCATCTCTGAGTCAGTTTGGTCCTTCCTGGCGTCTAACCTCATGATAGAAGACTCCTCGTTACTATCCACCCAAATTTAAGGGTGTTTTTATGGCTCTTATTCATATTCTCTCAGGTCAAGAGAAATCTCTGGTTTATAAAGCTTCAAATGTACTAGAAAACAGGTATTTATTTGGTTCACCGGGGAAACTTTTCAGAGTATAAGAACTCTGTAGAAGGAAGGCCTTTCTTTTAACAGACTTACACTGGTTAGCTAAGGGGTGCTTGGAATGAAATGCACTGTTTTCTAGTGGCCCAGTCCATCCCCTTCATCACCATCTCTAGAGAGAAAATAGAGAAGATGAAGTGTACTGAATCAGTTGGCAGTGGGTGTAGAAATCTTGGCAGTCTGTGGCGCTTAGTGCTTGTCTTGCAGCCCAGGGTCCTTTCAAGGGTGTAAGAGGTGGCAGGTTTTCATTTCATGTCCATAGGACAGGTCACTCAGTGTCCATCAACTTATGCACCAGTAGAATGAAATTAAAAATAAAATTCTAAAATATAGTCGGATGGCAACAGTGTTTGTATTAATATAAATGTAAATCTTCTTAACTGCCTTTCATATTTGCACTGTTGTGGTTTTATACTGAGATTTCCTACCTGAAAGCAACAGTAATAACTTTTATACTTTATACTGTCAAGAAGGTTTAAGAAATTACACATATTTAGCTGATCAGGAGTTTTGTTGTTGAAAGAATGTGCAACTTGGAGCTACTGTTTTGTTTTTATCCTGACGAGAAATGTGTTCCTTTACCTCTTTGAACTTAGACCTCTTTTTCCCCAAATCAATGACTTTCATGTCAATTTTGCGGGGGCAGGGGAGATTCTTGTTACAATATTTATTTTAATTTTAAATGCATATTAGTTAATTCCAAGGGCAAATAACCAGAGATGCAGGCTTAATATTACACCAACTTGTAAATCCATAATTTATGTAAAAGAGCCCATCTCTAGCGTATAAAATCAGTTTATCTTATATGTATTTACTATGGATGTGAGCTTCCCTGCCTAGTTGTATGTTTCATAGTCACTTCTGCTCAGCAACCTGACAGCTTTTTCTGTGTGCATGGTTGAGAATAAATCACTTTAGAAGCAGCATTCACAGGAAGTTTTAAATGACATTTCTAGGTAAATTGGCTTATCAATATTAGAGTTACCCCCAATCCTATAAAGATGGCGATTTGTTGTTATATATTTAGAGAAAGCTGGAAATCTTCCCTCACCTCTTCCTCTGTCTGCCAGACTATCTATGCCTTTTACTAATTGTGCTTTAAATTTTCAACATGACCATCAACATTCCTTGTGCTATGAAATTTTTTAAATTAAAAAGTATTTTATAAGCATATTGACTTCAAATTAAAATAATATTTAAATAAATGAAACCCATTCCAAATGTGCAAATAAAAGTTCTGCCTAGACATGGTTAGCTCTGGGAATTTAGACTACATAGCTCCCAGAACTTCTATAAAAACCAGACCTGTTGCCAGATCTGTCTACATTTTCTGTTTGTATCCATAATATTTGGGGAACTGGAGCTAATGTTTAGCCGTAATCTCCGAAAACACTGATTCACTACAAACAAATCACTTCACCTCTGCTGACTGCAATTTTTGTTCTCTATAATGAAAAGAGCATTTGTGAATTAACTTTCTCAGATCCCCTCAGTAATTAAAATGCTCTGTTAATGCACGTTGAAGTTTTGCCTCTTTGACTTTACTTCCTTTTTAGTATTCTTGCCAAATCCCTCTCATTAAAGCTAAGTTTGAGAAAGCACAAGGGTCAGAAAATGCCACGCTTCCTGAGGAATTCAGCCCAGGTTTGCATCCTTGCCAAAGTGCCAGTGCTAGAGTGACAGCCACTGGCCTTGGGGTTGACTCAGAAAGCCATGCTGGGTGGCCATAGCAGTCCACATCCCACACGTTAATTTTGACAGTTTGGAGTTTAGCCTAGCAGTCAGACTTAGAGCCACTCATTTTCTTTAGAGGTCACAGTTTAATTTAAACCAGCACAGATTGTGGCTCTAGGCCTTACCTACTTTAATTAAAGCCAGTTTCTATGATATCATGAAATCCTTTCCTTGCTAAGAAGAGTGATCTGTAAGAGACATCCCTGGGGAGTATGCTTCTAAGCCAACTGACCATATCTCAATAAGTACCCTGGAAATGGCAAAGATGGACTAACGTGGTCTTTGATGGTACGGTCAGAAAGCAGACCAGACATGCTCTGTAGGTCTTCAGAAGTGGACTGAAGTACTCACTGGCGGTAGAGTGATTTGCTTTTAATGTGGAAGCACCACATTTTTGAAAATCATATTTCATTTTGCATCTAAGCCTTTTTTCTGTCGTATGTCTGCCTTGCTCAATTTACTGGTCAAGTATAATATTACAATAAAGAATTCTTGTTGCAGTAGAAAACTTCTTTTCTTAGATGTCCTCCATCTGTTAATGCTTGACCAGTAAAGATTCTCCAATGAGCTCCAATCTGTTTGTGGCTGTTCTAATTGTTGGGAGATTTAACAATGGTAGCTTGACGCTCCAAACTTACTGAGAAAAGTAAGGTGTGAATAGACACAGAATGATATTTATCCTAAACAATCTTTGGTGAAGAGTATCTTTGCCTTCATAAATAAAATATGAATATTTAAATTTTATTCCGCTACTGGATATTATGCTATTCCATGACTGAGGGCTTAAGCTAATGTTAGAGGATACAAGCAGACAAACCCTCTAACTTACAATCACCACTGTGAAATCGCTCAAATAAAGGCTCAGTATTGCAGCAAAGTAGATAGAGATATAGATAGATAGATGATACATAGATGATAGATAAATAGATAGATGATAGAGAGATAGATGATAGATCTGTTAAATGCTTTGCCTAACTTTAAAAAAAAGTAGCATTTATGAAATATGTCACAAATACTTTCAATCTTTGTTTAATTTGGAAGCAAAACCACAATTTTTCTTCTTAATGAACACATCAGTTATAATCATTGTTAATTTTAAGCTCTAAAGCTTAAAGTTGTGATTCAGGAAATCAGTGTGTAAGAAAAGTGTTTGCTTCCTGCCACGGTAGGCTGTTAGAGGTCATCTGAGAAGACTGCGTGTCTTATTTTTGCTTTAAGTTGATGAAGTAGCTGTTCTGCCTCCTTATATGATGATGACTGTCAAGTATAAAACATGGAGGCCGGGTTCCTGCACCATAGGTGTGTAGAGGGAATAAAATTTACATAATGACTATGCAGGGTTGTACTTTTCTTCTAACTGTATTCCCCAGGAGCTTCCTGTGGACTTTTGCTTAATGTAGAGTTGCAAAAATATGAATTTAATGTACTTTTTGACACATGAAGTAGCAATCTTCAGAGTTCATAAATGGAACTAAAATGAAAATAAATTAGTTGGTGCGTGTTAATTAACTTTCAGAGAGAATCTTAGTTCATACAGACCACGTAAAAGGCACATTAAGAGTAGTAAGACCAGGGCTAGGCTTGTGGCTAGCAAGGCCAAGGTCCTGAGTTCAAAACCCAGAAATGCCAAAAACAGTATTAAAGCCAGACGTGGTAGTGCCTGTAATCCCTGCATACAGAAGGCTGAGGCAGGAGGATCTAGAGTTTGAGGCCAACCTGGGCTACATAGCAAGATCCTGTCTCAGAAGAAAGGGTGGGGGGAATGAGGATTAAAGTTTGTATGTTTCCTTTAGTAAAGTTTAGTCCTAAACATCCCAAGTGAAAAGCCATTATTTTTATGTGACTGGTGAGCACGTGATGCTACTTGAATATTGAAACTGTGAGAATGCCAGAATGATGTACAAATTGTAGAACATGCTGTTCCTCACTCGTAAGATGTGGGTGGAGGATTTTCTTGTCCTGTATGCCTAAGACACATTGGGTATTCCATTTTTCTTTTGACTAATTATCTTTGATGGTGGAAAGGGTTTTTACCTGCTTTAAAGGAGGTGTCTCCTACCATATACAAGTAACCAAAAATGTGCGTTCTTCTCACCTGTCCTTCTGTATGTTTTTAATTGTATGCACTCTCTTTCTGTTCTAATGGCTGCCCTCGGAATAGGCTGACCTCTGCTCTCCGTGTGACATCCTGCAGTTGGATTTTCGTCACATTCGAAAGACTGTTGACACTCTGCTGGCACTCGGGGAGAAACCCCCACAACCAACTTCTGCCCTCCGCTCCAGGGACCTAATAGGCTTCTGTCTTGTCCATGTTCTCTTTATAGTGCTGGTCTATATCACTTACGGCTGGAATGCTCTGTCCTTGTAGGCCTGCATGTGCACCCACACGCTCTGCCCTGGCATCCCTGATCCATTATGGGCTCCTTCCTCCACTGGAGCCTTTGCCTTGCAGGCTTCCATCCCTGACATCTCCTCAGTAATTTCTCAAGTTTTGAAGCTGAACGTTAGAAATCAGATTTTCTCCGAAGCACAAACTTGATAGTATGCTATTTGCATTTAGTAATTTCTTGCACTTACTGAAGAATAAAAGCAACATCAAAGTGAGTTCAGACCTCAAGTTCCCTCACCCACATAGTGCAGCTATGGCTGTGTCGTTCCTCTTCTCCCATGAGTGTGTGCTGATCTGAGCAGGGGGAAGAGGGCTCCAGGACAGGAAAACGTGGGATTTGGCATATGGAAGTCTTGCCATTTAACTGCAGTCCTAACTCAGGACTGGACATTTTAGCTGTAGAGGGGTCTCCTTGCAGAGGAGACGGGAAGCAGCTTTTTGGCCCAATTTGACCTATAAAAATCTTTAATAATAACCACTGCTGACCAAGTTGAAAAGTATGATGTGAAGGATGACTGCTTTGCAGACCACTCAGTTGGATTCCTCCCGATTTCCTGTAGAGGGAACGCTCTCAGTGGTATCAGAGGGTTGCCGCCAGTTTGCATCCTGCGCAAAACCCTGCCCTAGGCAAGAGTGCTCTGTTAGAGCGCCACCTGGAGGATTCACTGACAAACCAAGTTCTGTAGTTTTTACTGGTTCCTTCACAGGGCTGCTCTGGGGCTGTAAGAAAAGCGTTTTCCAGAAGGGATTTCTATTTTTGAAGGAGATAGTGGATTTTTTGCTGCATTACATAATAACTGCAAGTCCATAAAGTGATAGATTTTGCTGTATTCATTTCAAATAAAGCCATGAGTCATGGAACAGTCTTCATCCAGGGGCTTGTGTTACTGTGACAAGAGCCAATAATAAGATTGTTTTTATTTCAGAAGAATGCAGCTTCTCTAATCACTTGGAATGTCCATTTAACCTTTGATCTCCAGTGATATTAACTATCAAACTGCTTCATTTTTAAGTCAGCTTGAAAGATTACATATCAGCTAGCTCTGCTTTGGAGCAGAGCGATGAGTCTGTAATGAAAAGAGAAGAGTTAGAATCTTACGTAGGCCAAGACATTCCCGATTGTGAGGCGTCTTCCTACATGAGAAAGCCCTGCTCCGGGCCAGGCCAGGCTCCTCCACGCTTCATTTACTGTCCCGTTTGCCAAGTGCCGTGTCCTGGGAGGTGGCATACTGTTCCTCAGGATAGTTTGTCTGATTTGTTAAGATGCATACAGTCCTCAAACATGGCTACTAAAAAGAAAATCTTATTTTTCTGAACATTTTCATGAACCCAGGGAAGATGAGACTATGAAAAACCACATAGTTAAAAGGATATATTTATAAAGATTCCTTGCTGTTATATCTGATCAGAGTCTTTAACAGAAGACCTTCTTTACGTGTTGAGTTATCTGAGCTCTTTCCTCCTGACTTTGTGTTGATTGGTGAAATACAGGGTATGTGGACATTGTGTAACCTCAGCTGTGTCTATAAACCCACAGATGTACTGCATTGCCTTCGGTGCTATCTTGTACTCCTCAATGTGTAACAATAAAATCCCTTTGTACAATGTCTTCTGGGTACCCTGAGCCATAAGCTGCTTAAAGAACACATTGTGGGTGATTAGTCCACATTTTTATTGGCCCACTGATGCATTTATTCATCTGTGTCCAGATTAGCTCTTAGCATTTCTATCCAGTTCTGCCATGCATTGAGCTTCCTGTCCGTGGCCACCACTGTTTGCTTTTTCCTCTTCTTTATGGGGGGAAAAGGGGAAAAAGAGAAAAAAATGCCATTTCTGGGGTTCATGTCTGTAATCCCAGCTACGCTGGAGGCAGATATCAGAAAGATGACTGTTCAAGGCCAGTCCAGGTAAAAAGTTAGTGAGACCCCATGTCAACCAAAAAGCGAGGTACAGTGTGTATGCCTGTCATTCCAGCTACACAGGAGTCATAGGTCAGAGGATTGGGGTCCAGGCTAGCCCAGGGCCAAAACATGACACCCTATCTTAAAAATAACTAAAGCGACAAAGGGCTGGCGAGTGTCTAAAGCAGTAGAGCACCTGCCTAGCAAGTGTGAGTCCCTCTGTTCAAGTTCCAGAGAGAGAAAGAAAGAAAGATGTATTTGCCACCTGAAAGGAACTATTATCAATAAAGCCTGAACTGAGCAATCATATAAGATTAGACTGAATTTTCAGGTTGAATTAACATAGTTTTCCAGTTGTGTATGTATTTCAGTTCTGGCCACCCAAGGATTCTTTGGACTACACCTTCATTTTTCATTTTTCAAGTCCTAAATTTAATCTAGAGTCCTGTCCTTGGATTTGTTGGATTGTATTTTTTTTTCGTCTAAGTAGTATGGGAGCCAGCAGAACCATGACCAGACCATTAATTTCTAGTCAGAATATTAAACCTGTCTGTGGTTTTCCAAGATATCCGCACACCAACTGATGTGCTGACATGATGCCTGCCATTGCAGCTTGACTGGGGACCTGGCTGACCAACTTAGATCCTGAGGGGTGGTGGGGGCTCAGTTGTGTGATTTACCTTGCATACTCAATTATCATCATCTCAAAATAAAAAAACCTTATTTTTTCAGTACATCCTGCCAATACATGATAAAAAGAAACAAGTATTGATTTATATTTTCTTTTTTACATAACCATTTATGTTCTCTTTCTTAAATTGAGGGCAACTCTCCATTCAGTGTCACGATATCCAAGCTTCGTAACAACTAACTCATTTGTAATAGTTCCATTTATTCATGGGCTTCTGGTTCATTGTTTTTTTCTTCGTCCTTCGTCGTCGTTAGTCCCCGTTGTGTCTCCGTTTTTTTCGGCGTCGTTCCCCTTTTTCTTTTCGTTTCTCGGTTTCGTTTCCCCGGTCTGCGGGGTTTTCCTCGTTTTTCCCCCCGGTCGTCCCGTTTTCCGTTGTCGTCGCGTCGTTCCGTTCGTTTAACAACTAACCATTTGTTAATAGTTCCATTTATCATTGGCTTCTGCTTCATAATGCATTTTGCATTTTTCCTTGGCGAGAAAGGGTGAAAAAAACCCTACAGGATGCCAAATTAAGGTAATGAAGTAGGGTTTAGCAAGAAAGATTAGATAAAGAAAGTCACTTGATACCCCAATACTATTTGTTTGTAAAAAGAAAAAAAATGAATTTAGTGTCTAATGTCTCAGCTGTGTGTAAAATACACACCAGTCCTCACCTATTCCCTACAGGGGAAAAGAAGGGGAATTATATTTAAAATTTCAAAAGCCTGAAAGTGTAAAAGTGGTTATAGGTTGGGTAAAAAAATCTGAGGTTTGAACCTAGAACTTTGATATACGAGCATACTCTCTACCTAAAAGTATTTTAATATGATTTTATTTCGAGAGATTTTGATTTTTGAATTAGGATTCAGATTTCAAGATTACTTTCAATAAACCACAATTTGTTACAATGCATGTGAGCTTTCTCTGTAACCTATTCTTGACTACTTCCTTGGCTTCTGATAGCCACCTTTGTTCATTCTTAGTGCATTCAATCATCCTCAAATGCTGAGTGAGCCTCTGTGCAAGGCCTCATGGGACCCTGGGATAAAGTAGTGATCATGACCCATGCCTTGTGTCCTCAAAAAGTAAGTCCAGCCAGACATCAGCAAAAAATTTTTTTCTTTGAAGGACCAGATAACAAATATATACCATGTGGTCTCTTGTGACTATTCACCTTGCTCATAGCATGAATGGAGTCATAGAAGATACATAAAAATGGGCATGTCTGTGTGCCAATAAAGCTTTATTGACAAAATAAGGCTACCACAGATGAGCCTGAGATCATAGTTTATGGGCCCTGATCTAACAGATCTTAGAAATAGAGGAATTCAGCGAAAAGATCTGAGATGGATCAGGTTACAGGATTCTCTAAAATACATGGAAGGGCCAACCTTGATGGGGCATTGGGACCATGCAGGCTCCTGAGATGGTGATGTTTACACTAAGATTAGAAGATGTGTAGGAAAAACCAGGTGAAAGGGGAAGGCAGGAAACAGGTAGGGTGTGGTGTGGAAGCACAGTGTCTAGGGAGGGTGGTCTGGCTCCACATAAAGAATCAAGGAGGGGTGACCAGCATCCTTTCAACTCTAAGAGTTGACCTGATCTCCATGGCATCAGAAGAGATGGTCCTCACTAGGAGGGGGAACTTGTAGCTCTCCTACATGAAAGTAATACATGGACAGTTTGAGATTGGAACAGTTCATCCCTAGACTAAACAAAAACAGATGGAGCCCAAGGAAGTAGGCTGTCATGAATGACTTCATTTTTATCTAGCACCGAGTGGCCTGAAAGCAAGAGCACAAGAGATCACAGGGAGAGGGGAGCTGGCAGTGATGACAGTTCAGCCTGCTCCCACAGCTTCTCTGCAAGATGAGTGCTGCCCTCAGTAGGAAGGGAAGCCAGTGGACCTGAGTGGCAGAGCTAACTACACTATTCACTGGCTTGAACGTTCCCTGATCACACATAATATGGGTGATTGGACATGCCATCAAAAGACTCCCAGTGCTGAGGGCCCTCTCCTGTGTCATGACCACAGACTTTGCCATCCAGGACTTCCCAGCTGTGTAACATTAGCAAGATTACCTGAACTCTATGCCTCACTTTTTTCATCTGTAAAATCAGGTGTTAAGTCTACCCTGAAGGTTATCATAAAGAAATAGCCAAGGCAATCTGTAGTATGGTGCCAGGTATATAGGAGTCACCAAGAAATCTTCACAGTCAGCACTTGCTCTTTATTGTTTGCCTCCTTTTCTAACTTCATTGTTGGGGCCTTGAAGAGGGGGCATGGGGGGACTTAATGGAGTCCACCATTGGAGAGCAACATAAAGCATAGTCCCGCAAAAGGGGTCAGAAGTGTTAGGTTTATGAAGGATGCTACTGAATGCTTCTACTCCATGCTTTAAAAGCACAACAAAAATCCGTGGGTAGCTGAGGTGTCTGCTGCTGTCACATTCCAACAAAATCTCTGTGTCCGTGTCACAGTGCATTTGAAGTTGATGTAAAAACAGCTATTTTGCTTTAAATCCATTGTACAAAGACTCATCAGGAGAGGGCTCCCCTCACCTGCCTGGCCTTTGAATGTTTCTCTCTGTGCT